TCCACACCACCGCGTTTTAAAAAAAAAAACTCTGTCCACACGTACCCGGATAAATACGTTGTTAAGGACATGCCAGACCTGTAGGCGGCAGCACTTCCCCCGTTCTTAACCTCGTCCTTCGTCTGTGGTCTTCCGCAAGGAGCAGTAATTCCGCTTGCAAAAACAAACGAGCAAAAAGCGCTCGGACAATTGCTGGATCGGGTAGTGACAGAGCGCAGCTCTGAGGGCTTCCATGATGCCGGCTAGTGTAAACACAGGTCGCACACGTGATGTCGGCATTTTTTTGTCACGGAAAGTGACGTTGCGGACCTTAAAACTCCGGTTTTGTCCGTCCACACGCAGACACCCAAAACGGAGAAAACGCAGATCTTCACTTTGGCCGGAGTTTTTAAAAAGATCCGTTTTCGTGTGAAAAAACTCCGTTTTCGTGTGGATGACAGGCCAAAACGTAGAAAAATATCTACGTTTTGGCAGATCCCCGGCTACGTGTGGACAGGGCCTTAGCTGCTTGAGTTTCTTCCTTCACTGGGACATGCTGATTCAAGGCTGTGTGTCTAAACTTGTGGTGTTGAACCAACTTTTCTCAGAACGAACCGTTTCTCCACAGATATTAAAACGTTTATTTCTGTTACATTTGAAACCCCAGGTGCCAAAACTCAACAAGCTAAAAGTGGTTTTAAATTCTAGCAGCAATTTAACCATTTTGGAGTTTTTCTCTTGGCCCTGTGGAGCACTGAGGGGAAAGAAACAAGCTAACGGCTAAAACAAAAGGCCTAACTCTAAACCTTTGGGTTCGGGTTAACATGTAAAATTCTCAATTTAAGACTTGGTGAAGGACATCTAGAAAACAAATTACTCAGTAAAATAAACTACTAAAGTAAAACAACTCATAGGAATTGGATGTTTTAATAAAAGTTGGAACTTTTATGAGTTGCCTCTCATCAACTGCCTATTAATTAGACATAATCTAACCATATAATAAAAAAAATCTATATTTTCTGATGGATCTTTCTTGGTGTGGTTGTTTTAGGCTTTATTTGTTTTGTAAATATGAAATAAACCAACCTGCTCAGAATCCATACGGCCAGCCCACCTTCAACTTCTTTGGGTCTGGTGCTTCACGTCCCGCCATATGGTCCAGTCCACGGTCCTCAGATCAAGCTTTGTTAAAGCGTGGGGTTTTACAATAATAAACGATCATGGAGCAGCAGATATGGCTCCTTCTGAGTCCCAAACAGGTGAGTCTCATCAAACCAGCCAACTCCCTGTGGTGCGTTCACTGCTTCAGGAACTTTCTCAGTCCAAAAGGAATGAGAGGAAATATGCCACAACTCCTCAAATGCGTGTGAATGTAGCTCGTAGTATGAAGGAGTATTGAGATCCACATCTCTAACAGCGCTAAAGGCAGACAGATGGATGAGTTGCACTCAAAATCCATGAGCTTCAAACAGGATGTGACACAAAATAAACTCGAAATGCGAGAAATTTGAAAGAAAACAGTGAAAAGTGTTGAAAACTATTTAAGAAGATTCATGAAACCAAAAATGGTTTCGTTCATGAAGGTCACGATGGAAAATAAACACTTCTGTGTATCTCAGTCTGCAGATGTTTCAGGACCATCTCAGTCAAGACCCCCTCTTTAATCTTGAGACAATGCTGCAGTATTCAGCCAATAAGCACGGCTCTGCATCCACATTAGTGCACCAGCTCATCATTTGCACTGCGTGCTTGGAGCCAAGGTAATGTGTCTGTAAAATGGAGGCATGGCTGCCAAATTTCAAATTAAATGACCTGCAGCAGACCTGGGATATCTGCTGCTTCCAGGCACCAGGAGCTTTAAGGAAATCTGGATTTAGGGGGCTGCCAGGGGGACCATCTGCGTGCTGAGTCATAAGCTCCTTCTGCTGCGCCGTCACCCTTAACTCTGCTTCTCCATCCTCATTTCAATATTTGAAAACCGTCTCGGAGCATACAATAGATTCTCCTTGTGTTTTAACATTATTTTAGTTTGCGAGAAGCCGAGCTGTCTAATCGTGAAAGTCACCCGGATTAGAAGGCTCCAGTTCCTTTGTCAACATTTGTTTCTTTATTACGTTGCTTTGAGTGATCCAAATGAACGTGAACACACCAGTGGCGGCTCCAGAAGTGTTTTTCTGCAGCTGCTATGAAGGAGCTAGTCTTTTTATTGAGGGTGCTATGAAGGAAGTGGTCATGCGTACCTATTGTTCTCTAAAACACCTTCAACACTAGCAGATACACATGCGTGCACAACACCTCAACAACACCTGAAACAATCATTAATATACATCATAAACATATGAACAATCGCTGACTTTTCCATGAAATCATAAACACATACAGCCACACAGAAAAACATCTATAGTGTTGCAAGGTTAGCTAACGTTAGTGTTAGCATTTCCAGCGGCAAAACCCTGGACTGCTGCGGCGGTTGAGGTTTGACTCTCTTCATCCAGATCCGTAGGTGTTTGTGGGTCTGAGATCACTTCCAAAGATTCATTCGTTTCTGACTGAACCCGTGGAAATGTGGGCAACAAAAACCGATCCATTTTACCACTAGCTCTACCTTTCACTCGTTCACAGGTGGAAAAATGAGGTCAAAGGTTAACATCAATTTCCTGTTTTGGTTAAAGTTTTTACTATCTATATGATAATTTACTGATTATTTTTGTTTTGTATGTTAAATATGATCACATCCACACGTTACATTAAAATTAAATTGTAAAAAAAAAAAAAAGAATTCTAATATTTACTTGGAGGTGCTATGACTAATCATGGGGTAGCTATAGCGCCCCCTAGCATCCCCCGGCGCTTCCACTGGAACACACCGACAGTCACTGACTCGTCGTCTCCACTGGACAGGAAATGTCAGTGCAAGGATTTGATCAAACATTCTTCTTCTGCAGTCTCGTTAAATGTCATCAGGTGAAGAAAACAGGATTAGAGGAAATTAGAATCTGGCGTGGATCTGACCGGAGTTGGTCCGAAGATAGATTGTTACGCAAGTCATATTTGTGAGATAAAACTTTCACACTCGTCTTCTCAGCAGCAGTAGCTCAGGAGGTAGAACGGGTTGTTTAGTCATTGGACGGTTGTAGGATTAACCCCAGCTGCCATTGTGTCCTTGGGCAAGACACTTCACCCACTTTACCTGCTGGTGGTGGTCAGATGGACCGGTGGCGCCTGTGCTTGCCAGCCCCGCCTCCCTCAGTGCGCCCCAGGGCAATACGCTGTAGCTCATCCCCACCAGGGTGAGAATGTGTGTGTGAATGATTGTGTTGTAAAGCGTCTTGAGGGGTTCTGGGAATCTTGAAGGCACCATATCAAATCCAAACCACTTACCATGTCCCCACACACACACTACAGAAAGCTGAGAATCTCTGCAAGGATTCATTAAATGAGATCACATTTGTCACCTCATAAAGGACCTCAAGAGACAAGACAAGACAATACTGGTGAAGAAGATTGCAGAAAACATTTTCTCATTAGGTGTTTTTGTTCATCCTAAAACATCTCCGATCTCAAACTTTTCACACTACCGTTACCTTCCTGTTAGACCGTAATTTAAACACAACTCTACAGCGATGTGCAGCTTCTCTGTCTGGAATTCTGCAAATGTTTCTTCTAAAATAAAAATAAAATGTAAATTTTGTGTGATGCAATGGCTAAAAAAATAACATTTGCAGGAACTGCAGCAAACTCAATGGATCCGATTGTAACTGCCCCATTGACATATATACTGGACAATTCATGTCCATAGACTCCAATAATAAGTTTTTGTGCCAAAATGGGAGGTGGCCACCATCGTCATTTTGACCGTGTCACAGATTCCGTCAAGCTCAGACAATTCCAAAAAAGGGAAAAGAGGTGGAACTGAGGGCAGGGCTGTAAGGCTGGGATCAAATGACGACACCCGACGAACTGAAGCGATGTAGCTACAAGCTATGGATAACAAGCTAACCCAAAGGAGGTGGGAGCTAAGCAGCTAACGGAGGTAGCAACCTAGCTACAACTGGAGCTAACTGTGCTTTACACCGGAGCTTCTGAGTCAGAGATGCGCCGGGCTGACCGCTGGGTAAAACCGGGTGGAACACAGAGGTCTCCGAGACCTCCACAAGCCGGCAGCCGCGCATCAGACAGGCATCGTTGCGGTCAGAGATGCGCCGAGCTGCAGCTGAGGGGAGGGGACCATACCGATAGTCGGAACCCAGCTCTAACATGTTATATTTCAACCCATTTTCTAAAATGCAGCATTATGTTAAATGCACTGGGTTTTACCCTATTGAATTTACATTTCATGGTTAAACAGTACATTTTAAAATCTAAGCTCAGCTAGTGCAAGAGCGGCAGTGACCTAAAATACATAAATATAATTTTACTTACCAAAAGAGACTCCTTGGATGCTCAATTAGTGCAATTAATACCACACAGCAAGTCACTTTGTCCAACAATTGCACAAATAATATCCAAAAAGAACGCACAAACGCTACAACTAATGGTCTAAGTTGAGAGACTGAAACAAATAGCTGTTTTTACTAAACCAGAATTTGTTTGTGTTTCTTCCAACTGAAGCCATTCACAAAGCTACCTGCAACAGGTGAGAGTCGTTATCTATGATCAATATTTTACTTTTTTATTTAGGTTTTGGTTTATTAAAATACTTCAGTTTTGTGCAGCGCATTAATCAGTCAAGGTTGTTTTAATTGTGTTTTGTAAACTGCTGAAAATTCAAACAGCAGCCAAATAAACGATGTTTGTGGTTTCTTTATTGTCCTGAAGTGGCTCCTAATCTGTTTCACTCACTGGACATTTTTTTATCCAAATAGACTAAAGCATTAAAAAGTACATTTTTGAAAATGTAATTTACATTCAGTGGAGCGGGTGTAAAGTCTTGTTCTCTCAGTAAATGCTTTTTTGAATGAAGAATTTAAGCGGCACGTGAGCCTCGCTGCTCTCTGTGGTTGGTTTCAGCGGAACATTTCCGCCCCCTGGCGGTGAGGCAGAGGGACTGCAGTGTTCCCTGTCAGATCCGGAAGATCTGGAAGAAGAAGACCGTCGATCCGAAGAACCACGCGGAGAACGAGCCACCATGAGCGGAGCGGCGAGTTTTAAAAGCTGCGCTTCGGTTCTGGTAACGGGGGCGAACCGCGGGCTCGGGCTTCAGCTGGTGGACAGTCTGGTGAGAGGAGGTTTCTGCCCGGGAAAGATCATAGCGACAACCAGAAACTCCTCCGCCACCCAGGTAAAAATAAAAAAAAATAACTAAAAACTACAACTAAAACAATTTGAGTTGTTAGCTTCTCTTGTTCTACTTAAGTTCATGTTTTATGCAGGAAAAATCTAATTTAAAACAAACAGTGAGTTACGTAATCATGTCATAGCAACACTTACCACTAGGGGGCGCTGACGTCCTCATAGAGAAGCAGATGTATTTATTATTTATTTATTTACAGAAACTTCAAGAACTGGCCGAGAATCATCCCAACATCCACATAGTAACTTTAGGTAAGGACGTTTGCTTCAGTTTATTAATAATAATAATAATAATAATAAACCATATTTTAAAATGGCCAACACTATACAAGTACAGTACATTGGACCAAAAATGAACAAAAGTGACCTATAATTCAAATCAATTCAAGTTTATTTAGAAAGCGCCAAATCACGACAAGAGTCGTCTCAAGGCACTTCACATAATAAACATTCCAATTCACAGTTCATTAATCCAATCAGAAATAATGTGTCCTATATAAGGAACCCAGCAAATTGCATCAAGTCACTGACGAGTGTCAGTGACTATGCAGCAATCCTCATACTAAGCAAGCATGCAGCGACAGTGGAGAGGAAAACTCCCTTTTAACAGGAAGAAACCTCCAGAGGATCCTGGCTCAGTATAAGCAGCCATCCTCCACGACTCACTGGGGATGGAGAAGACAGAACACACACACACACACACACACACACACACACACACACACACACACACACACACACACACACACACACACACACACACACACACACACACACACACATAATAATTTATCAACTGATTGACACAAAAATGTGTAAAACATCTGCCTAAGACACATCTCAAAAGGTGCTAATTAATAACAGGGAGTCGCAAAGCACAAAGGCGGAGATACAGAAGTTTATCTAAAAAACATTTTTCTCAGATGATTTCACAGATCAATCAATCAATCAATCAATACTTTATTAATCCCAGAGGGAAATTAGATGTGTCCCATCTTGTTGGGCGACTTGTGTTTCCTGTGTAGATGTAGCGAGTCAGGACAGCATCGAGCGGTGTGCCGAGGAGGTGGGCCGGCTGCTGGAGGAAGAAGGTCTGAACTGTCTGATCAACAACGCTGGGATCAAACTGGAGGCCGACTTCCACTCCGTCACTGCAGAGGCGATGATAGAAAGCTTCAACATCAACGCCGTGGCTCCGCTCATGATCACAAAGGTAATCTGTGGCTGCAGCTTGGATTAAAAACGTTTCACATCAAAGGAACATTTGTGATTGGGTAGAAAACTAAATAAATACTTGCCTGGTAACAACATCTCAGAGCCTGTCCACATGTGATGAATGATAACTAGAACTTTAGGTTCTGGTGGGTGTCAGAGGACAGCAGGGTCGGTTACTGCTGAGTTTCAGGGACAGTTGTAGTCTAAAGAGTACTTGTTTTTATTATTATTTACATTATATTGTTGCCCTCGTCCCATTTATTTTTATTTAAAACAAAAACATTTGATTGGTTTTCTGTTTGTGTTGAGAGGAGAGTTCGGCCACCAGGGGGCAGCACTGACCGTTCATATCCACTGACCCACAAAGCCTAAGCAACAGTTCGCCTGCTTCAGTTTCAGCTGTTTTTTTTTTTGTTTTCCTTCGTAAGTAAAAGTGAAATAAATCTCGGCCTGACCTTGCCAGGATGTTCTTGTGTTTCTGCTCCATCAGGCTTTTCTGCCTCTGTTGAAGCGAGCTGCATCCAGAGGATCAGCAGGCGGGCCGGGGATTATGGGAATCCAGAGGGCAGCAGTTATTAACATGGGCTCTCTGCTGGGCTCCGTAGAGCTCAACTGGGGCGACGAGGCCCAGAACTTGAGATGGTACCCCTACAGGACCTCCAAGGTACTCAGGAGGAGAACTTCCTGCTAATGTGGCTCAGACTTTTCATTTATAATGTAAAAATGTTAAAAAAGACGGTAGAAATAAAAGAATGAGAGAACCATGTATTTTTATCTCCTCAGGCTTCTCTGAACATGGTCAGCCGCTGCATGGCGGGGGACCTGCGGGCTGATGGGATCCTCTGTGTGGCCGTGCACCCCGGCTGGGTCCGCACCGACATGGGGGGGTCTGAGGTAAAGTCTGGGGTCAAAGTTAGAAAATCCACGACTTGTAAAAACGTGTTTTAAAATCAACCAGGAAGCTCATTGAACTCGTAGTCGAGGATGTTGTCTCCGCTTCTTCTCTCCAGGCTCCTCTGAGTCCCGAGGAGAGCGTTTCCTCCATCTTATCTGTGATTGGTCGGCTGAGTGAAGAGGATCATGGGTCGTTTCTGAGCTTTAAGGGAGAGCGGTTGCCGTGGTAACGTGTTTGTTTCAAGGCTCTCTTGGACTTCCTTGAATTTTAAAAAACCAGTCGTATTGTTGTTTAAACAAGTTCAAACAAGTCATCTTGTTAAAACAAGTCGTCTTGTTAAAACAAGTCGTCTTGTTAAAACAAGTCATCTTGTTAAAACAAGTCTTGTTGTTAAAACAAGTCTTGTTGTTAACACAAGACATCTTGTTAAAACAAGTTAAAACAAGTCTTCTTGTTAAAACAAGTCATCTTGTTGTTAAAGCAAGTCATCTTGTTGTTTAAACAAGTTAAAACAAGTCGTCTTGTTAAAACAAGTCATCTTGTTGTTTAAACAAGTTAAAACAAGTCATCTTGTTGTTTAAACAAGTTAAAACAAGTAGTCTTGTTGTTAACACGAGACATCTTGTTAAAACAAGTTCAAACAAGTCATCTTGTTAAAACAAGTCATCTTGTTGTTTAAACAAGTTAAAACAAGCCGTCTTGTTAAAACAAGTCATCTTGTTGTTTAAACAAGTTAAAACAAGTCGTCTTGTTAAAACAAGTCATCTTGTTGTTTAAACAAGTTAAAACAAGTCATCTTGTTGTTTAAACAAGTTAAAACAAGTAGTCTTGTTGTTAACACGAGACATCTTGTTAAAACAAGTTCAAACAAGTCATCTTGTTAAAACAAGTCATCTTGTTGTTTAAACAAGTTAAAACAAGCCGTCTTGTTAAAACAAGTCATCTTGTTGTTTAAACAAGTTAAAACAAGTCGTCTTGTTAAAACAAGTCATCTTGTAGTTAAAACAAGTTCAAACAAAAAGTCTTGTTAAAACAAGTTAAAACAAGTCGTCTTGTTAAAACAAGTCGTCTTGTTAAAACAAGTTAAAACAAGTCGTCTTGTTAAAACAAGTCATCTTGTTGTTTAAACAAGTTAAAACAAGTCATCTTGTTGTTAAAACAAGTTAAAACAAGTCGTCTTGTTAAAACAAGTCATCTTGTTGTTAAAACAAGTTCAAACAAGTCGTCTTGTTAAAACAAGTTCAAACAAGTCGTCTTGTTAAAACAAGTCGTCTTGTTAAAACAAGTTAAAACAAGTTGTCTTGTTAAAACAAGTCATCTTGTTGTTTAAACAAGTTAAAACAAGTCATCTTGTTGTTAAAACAAGTTAAAACAAGTCGTCTTGTTAAAACAAGTCATCTTGTTGTTAAAACAAGTTCAAACAAGTCGTCTTGTTAAAACAAGTTAAAACAAGTCGTCTTGTTAAAACAAGTCATCTTGTTGTTTAAACAAGTTAAAACAAGTCATCTTGTTGTTAAAACAAGTCATCTTGTTGTTAAAACAAGTTAAAACAAGTCGTCTTGTTAAAACAAGTTAAAACAAGTAGTCTTGTTAAAACAAGTCATCTTGTTGTTTAAACAAGTTCAAACAAGTCGTCTTGTTGTTTAAACAAGTTAAAACAAGTCGTCTTGTTAAAACAAGTCATCTTGTTGTTAAAACAAGTCGTCTTGTTAAAACAAGTCATCTTGTTGTTAAAACAAGTTCAAACAAGTCATCTTGTTGTTAAAACAAGTTCAAACAAGTCGTCTTGTTAAAACAAGTCATCTTGTTGTTAAAACAAGTTCAAACAAGTCGTCTTGTTAAAACAAGTCGTCTTGTTAAAACAAGTCATCTTGTTGTTTAAACAAGTTAAAACAAGTCATCTTGTTGTTAAAACAAGTCGTCTTGTTAAAACAAGTCATCTTGTTGTTAAAACAAGTTAAAACAAGTCATCTTGTTAAAACAAGTCATCTTGTTGTTTAAACAAGTTAAAACAAGTCATCTTGTTGTTAAAACAAGTTAAAACAAGTTGTCTTGTTAAAGCAAGTCATCTTGTTGTTGAAACAAGTTCAAACAAGTCGTCTTGTTGTTTAAACAAGTTCAAACAAGTCGTCTTGTTAAAACAAGTCATCTTGTTGTTAAAACAAGTCGTCTTGTTAAAACAAGTCATCTTGTTGTTAAAACAAGTCATCTTGTTGTTAAGACAAGTCGTCTTGTTAAAACAAGTCATCTTGTTGTTAAAACAAGTTCAAACAAGTCGTCTTGTTAAAACAAGTCATCTTGTTGTTAAAACAAGTCATCTTGTTGTTAAAACAAGTCATCTTGTTGTTAAAACAAGTCTTCTTGTTAAAACAAGTCATCTTGTTGTTAAAACAAGTTCAAACAAGTTGTCTTGTTAAAACAAGTTAAAACAAGTCGTCTTGTTAAAACAAGTCATCGTGTTGTTTAAACAAGTTAAAACAAGTCATCTTGTTAAAACAAGTCATCTTGTTGTTAAAACAAGTTAAAACAAGTCGTCTTGTTAAAACAAGTTAAAACAAGTCGTCCTGTTAAAACAAGTCATCTTGTTGTTTAAACAAGTTCAAACAAGTCGTCTTGTTGTTTAAACAAGTTAAAACAAGTCGTCTTGTTAAAACAAGTCATCTTGTTGTTAAAACAAGTCGTCTTGTTAAAACAAGTCATCTTGTTGTTAAAACAAGTTCAAACAAGTCATCTTGTTGTTAAAACAAGTTAAAACAAGTCGTCTTGTTAAAACAAGTCATCTTGTTGTTAAAACAAGTTCAAACAAGTCGTCTTGTTAAAACAAGTCATCTTGTTGTTTAAACAAGTTAAAACAAGTCATCTTGTTGTTAAAACAAGTCGTCTTGTTAAAACAAGTAATCTTGTTGTTAAAACAAGTTAAAACAAGTCATCTTGTTAAAACAAGTCATCTTGTTGTTTAAACAAGTTAAAACAAGTCATCTTGTTGTTAAAACAAGTTAAAACAAGTCGTCTTGTTAAAGCAAGTCATCTTGTTGTTGAAACAAGTTCAAACAAGTCGTGTTGTTGTTTAAACAAGTTCAAACAAGTCGACTTGTTAAAACAAGTCATCTTGTTGTTAAAACAAGTCGTCTTGTTAAAACAAGTCATCTTGTTGTTAAAACAAGTCGTCTTGTTAAAACAAGTCATCTTGTTGTTAAAACAAGTCATCTTGTTGTTAAAACAAGTCGTCTTGTTAAAACAAGTCATCTTCTTGTTAAAACAAGTCATCTTCTTGTTAAAACAAGTTCAAACAAGTTGTCTTGTTAAAACAAGTTAAAACAAGTCGTCTTGTTAAAACAAGTCATCTTGTTGTTTAAAGAAGTTAAAACAAGTCATCTTGTTGTTAAAACAAGTCGTCTTGTTAAAACAAGTCATCTTGTTGTTAAAACAAGTCATCTTGTTAAAACAAGTCTTCTTGTTAAAACAAGTCGTCTTGTTAAAACAAGTCATCTTGTTGTTAAAACAAGTTAAAACAAGTCGTCTTGTTAAAACAAGTCATCTTGTTGTTAAAACAAGTTAAAACAAGTCGTCTTGTTAAAACAAGTCTTGTTGTTAACATAAGACGACTTTAGAAAAGTGAAATCTGTGTTTTTCTCAACGAAACAGAAAAGTCACATTTTTCAAAGCTGGAGGAAAATCTTTTTTAAGAGCGACTAAATGAGAAAAACTCCAACTTCTGCTTCATAAATGTTCTTATTCGTGTAAAATATACAAAATGTGACGTTTCTACATTGATGCCATTGATATTTGTTCGACTTCGTACCCGATGAGGATGAGAAGGGAAATAACATCTTGCAGACTTCAGCATTAAGACTTGATCCATTTAAAAGTCTGTTAACAACAATCTAAGCTAATAAATGTGTTGCAGCTTTCTGGTTCTTCTGGTTTTTGGTCTCTGGCTGATTACTGGATTGTCCCTCTGGCTCTCAGATGGACCTCGGCTCATTAGAGCTACATTTTCTCTGTAATTTGTTCATGGAGAGAGAAAAATGTTAAACTAAGGTGAGAAAAATATAAAAATCTACAGCTCTTTTTTAAAATAACTGAATAAAAAAAGGTAAACTCTTTAAATTTGAATCTGAAAACTGAATCTGTTGTCTTTGGCTTTTCTCTCTGATCCCAGAACAGCTGATGTGGTCTGAACGGCATCGCTCTGATGTTGAGTGTGCTCTAACTTCTACTGCGGGTTGGGTGACCAGATGTCCCACTTTTTCATTACTTTTCACGTGTCCCGCAAATTTAGACTCGTGTCCCGCATGAGTGACTGTTTCCCGTTTCGAGTTTCAATCTTATCAAATAAACTGGAGAAGTCTGCTGCTGTCAAACGGAGGCGGGACTTTAACGCAGATCCGGAGCGTGTGTGGAGCACGCTCGAGCCACCATAACAGGCGTGAGTCTGAGGTCAAAAGCAGGTTTTCCAGTAATTAGACAGGTCCATGATAAACACAATGGAGGCTCTAACACAGACAAGGTGCTGCGGTTTCAGATACCTGCGTACACGCTGAGCCCCTTAAAGCACAGAGAAGAAGTCATGAGCATAAATGGAAGCTTTGATCACTTATTCTCAGAATAAAGTAACTCTAAGAAACTATTATTAGATTAGATCTGAATTTTTTAGAGATTAGGATCAGATGTTTATTCTCTCACCTAAAATCTAGAAGAGATTTGTTGTCATGTTTTGTTTCTGAATTATGAAAAAAATAGCAAAAAAGTATGGATATTTTTTCTATGAGATGCTGATTTTAGTGGAAAATTAATTAAAAACAAACATAAATAGATCTAAAAAATATAACTGGTACTTTTACTGTCATTCTGTTGTGGAAAACATTCAATGAAAACTCTGAAAAGCTGCTTAAACCTGCATTTTTTTATTATTATTGTGGGCCTATCTATGTTATTAAAATGATCAGAGCCACTACAGAGTGATGTTGTTCAAATTCAAAGATACTTTATTAACCCCCAGAAACCCACATTTAGAAAACAACTGCAAAATCTTTTTTTAACCTTTCACATGTTGTTAGGAGGCCAGATAAACGGGCCTATTTACACATTTTAACAGCCAATAGTGTTGCAGAACTGAACAATAGGACCTATTAGCAATGTAAATGTGGTTTTAAAAAGAAAAAAATGGGGAAGGTTTATTTTTGTAGACTTAAATCTGATGTTGTAATGTTACAATCGTGGGTCTCTGGGGGTTAATCCCAGAGGGAAATTAGAGTTTCAGTACACACAATTCTGAGATCAGACCTACGTACATAGGCATAGACACATGACAAGAATTGGTGACTGTGGTCATTCGCAACCCGAGTCGCGCTACCTTAATAGAGAACAGAGGGTTTATATGAGGATTGGTTCAGGTGGAGGAAAAAAAGGCACTTATGCAAAAAACACCTCAGACAGAAACGCAACAGACTTCAGACATTACACAACATAAGTGTCCACTAGGGGGAGAGGTAGGGTTGGGGACTCTCCTCACATCAGTGCATGCAGCCGCGATAAGCAGCACTCGTCACCTCAGTCTGGACAGGGGAAGGAGGTTGTTGGGTTAGAAAGCACAGTGACTCCTGGAAACGGTTCCACTGCCTTCACCGGTCTGGGATAGGTAGACAGAGTTACCATAGCGACGGCAGCATTCTACATTTCTTCTGAGGGGGAGTAATCTCTTCAGCCTCACAGGCTCAAGGGCACCAGATTCAGATAAGAACTTGTTTTGGGGCCAGACAGAGATAATTTCCTCTCTGTCTTAAAGTTCTGTTGGTCTCCAACCCGTCTGAATCCAATAATGGCGTAAATTAATCTATCCCAATCCGTGCTGAATCGTCCACTCGCTCCTTGATCGAATCAACCTTCTGTGCCAGAACCTGAATCTCAGCCAAAGTTCCAAGCTTACGACTCATCTCGACAATTATATGAGTTTGTGCGTTCAAAGCGCGGTGTAATCCATCCCTGAGCTCCGGGATTGAGCCAGTATTCCTCGACAGCTCATTAATTTTCCGGTAAGCCAGGTAACCGGTCAGGCCCAACAGCAGGAATCCTGACACCAACACCACGAATATCCAGACGTCTTCAGAATCCTCTACAGACAGCTGAGAGAGGCAGATCAGGTTCCACTGTTTCCAGGAGTCCATGATATGCCCAGCTGGCTCTGTCCCAGAGAGACATCCGGGAGCCGCTTCTCCCGTTCTCATCGTTGAAAAAATCTTGTCAATTGCATTGAGAGACCAACTGACCAGGTCCATTTTTAATCATTTCGAGTTTCCAGAAAAAATGCAGAAGTGCCGTCCACACAAGGACAGACAAAGAGCCTTGGGGATAAGATAGGGAGAACAGGAGGAAAAAAGCGTCTGTACTCTCCAAGAGCCGGAAGAAGAAGTTGTGGTAACTTTGAAATAGTAAAGCTTTGCTGTGTGCTTGTTCCTGTTGAATTCAAATAAAATATATACAAGAAATATATGATAATAAGAATAATGATTGCATGTATATGTAACAGTGATGTTAGCGCTAAACGGCAGAATATACGTTTTGTTTGTTTTTTTCTCATTGGAACTTCGCGTTGTCCCACATCGAGTATCTCTGTCCCACATTTGGGAAGTTGGGATCTGGTCACCCTAACTACAGGCTGTTTTCCTGTGTGTCCCGTTTACTGAGGTATGAGGTCAGTTCCAGGAAGACAGAAATACGAGACACTGACCTCGCGTTCCCTCCTACAAACAAACGTAAGTTAACGCTCCTCCGCGACCCCCACATGGAAATGGTTACTGTTGTCTGGGTTACGTTGTGAAATCGACTGATGCAAATGTAGGTTGGCGGAGGAAGGTTACTGAACATTTATTCAGTGTAAATATACATAATTAGCTTTTTAGGAAAATAACAGTCATGTAAAATCACTCATTTTGAACTGAAATTTTGATTAAAAACATAATATTTGTATTATTTTGCTTCCAGAAACAACACAGTTAAGTTTTTCTGTCTGTATCTTGAACGTTTGTTGCCTTTTTTCTCATCAGATTTTTCACTTTGCTTGTAGGAATAATACTTAAATAGAGCACATAAAACCTGCAAGACGCTACAAGTAAATTAAACAGTGTAAAAGTCCTAAAATGGTTAAAAGAAATGAAGATTTCTACAGAAACCCCTCTGTCTCATGGAGTTGAAACAGTCTTTATTGTGTTTATTTAAAGATTTAACTAAAATCTCATTGTGAGAAATGCTGCTGGAGAAAAAGAATGAGGGTGTCAGGAAAAGAGTTATTGGTGTTGCTGATGCCAGAACATCGTTTATTTTATGAAACATGAGAACTTCCAGCATCGTGGATGTAGAAGGTAAAGCTCTGAGGAGAAGGAATATCGAAGGAATAAAGAATTTAGGAGGAATGTAAATAAATGACAAATGGCCTGTATTATATATAGCACCTTCTGTGGGCCATTCCCATCTGTACCGGGTCGGCCCGGGCCGGGTAGCCCCAGTCGGCCCCAGCCTGTCCCGGTTGATTCCACACATCCTTGTCTTAAGCCCATGTGGGCTGATTCTACCCACCAATCAGAGGCTTGCTCTAATGGAAGGTGTGAATTTGCTGTCAGCAGTGGGCGTGTTGGCCCTGGTCGGCCTGAAGCAGACCCCCTCGAGAAGAGGGCTGAGAACGAGCCTTGGTTGGCCCGGAAAAATACCAGGCCACCCAGATATGTAAACAACCTACGCTACCCGGCCCGGGCCGACCCGGTACAGATGGGAATGGCCCATAGAGTCCTAGAACTCCCCAAGGCGCTTTACAACACAGTCATTCACCCATTCACACACTGGTGGTGATGAGCTATGATGTAGCCACAGCTGCCCTGGGGCGCGCTGACAAGAGGCGAGGCTACCGAGCACTGGCTCCACCGGTTCCTCCGACCACCACCAGCAGGCAAGGGGGGTTAAGTGTCTTGCCCAAGGACACGACGACAGTGACAAACGTAGGCAACTGGGCTTCCATGGTTTCCTGAAGACGTTTCACTTCTCATCTGGAGAACTTTTAACAATTTTGACTGAAATATGAGAGGGTCAAGCTTATATATACTCCTTCTTCCGGCTCTTGGGAAGTGCAGATGCTTTTTTTCCTCCTCTCCTCCTATCTTATCCTCAAGTCTCTTTGTCTGTCTCTGTACTGGTGCACAGCTGCTTCTGCATTTTTTCTGGAAACTGGAAACTGAAATTACTAAAATGGACCTGGTAAGGCTCCAACGAATACTCCCCCCTCAGAAGAAATGTGGAATGCCGTCGCTATGGCAACTCTGTCTCCTATCCCAGCCTGGGCGGGACTTTGGGCTGTTGAGGCCAAAGAATCGTTCCAGGAGTCACTGCACACCAAACCTCAACGACACCCCCCCCATCCAGACTGAAGTGACATGTGCTGCTTATCCTGGCTGCAGAAACTGAAGTGTGGATAGTCCCAAACCCACCACTCCACCTAGTGGACACTTATGTTGTGTGTTGTCTGAAGTCTGTTGTATTTGTGTCTGAGGTGTTTTTTGCAGAGCAAAGCTGCCCTCCCTGTGGAGGGTAACTCTGAAGTGCCTTTTTTTCCCTCCACCTGAACCAATCCTCATGTAACCCTCTTATCTCTATTAAGGTAGCGCGACTCAGGGTTGCGAATGACCACAGTCACCAATTCTTGTCATGTGTCTTGCCCATGTATGTCTGATCTCTGAATTGTGTGTACTGAAACTCTAATTTACCTCTGGGATTAATAAAGTATCTTTGAATTGAATTGAATAAAGGTCTGTTGTTGTTTAATGAGCAGAAACTACATATGAATACCCCTTCCCCCTACCACCTGAGGAGTCATTGTATTGATTAGATGCAGGAGTTTAATGCTCATTCGTTTGTCCTGGAAGAAGGAGTCGAAGCTTGCTAAACTCACTGCACTTTTCTTCGTGTCTGGTTCGATGACGTCAAAGAGATGCGTTTGTACATCTTTTCACACAAAACCTAAAATAACTTTTGCTGCTTTTCTGAAATAAAAGCTTTCTTGGTATCAAAATGTGTCTTTAAAATTCACGGCCATCATGTGAAATCCATGGTGCGTTTCAAACGGGATCAGAAAATAGCTGTTGACCCACTGACTTGCATTCATTCTTTTCTTATGGTCCAGAAGTAGGTGGGCGTGACTTAGGCTCCCTCTTATTGAAGCTAAGCTCACTTCCCCACATCTCAATCTAATGAGAACATTTCTGATTCTTTGTCTATTTTTGAAACTAGTTTGCTGATGATTTAAAAGTTTAATTCTCATTCCGCCCTCCTGTAAAAGCTGGATTTTACAGAGAGTCCCTAAAGGCAGCAACAGCTGGATGGGTCTCACAGCTGGAGAATTTTATCATCTGTGACCTTTTTTTTTTTTAGTTGCACTTTTCCTTAATCATTGACTTCCTGTTGTGTAAATAAAGGCTGATCTGGGGATCAATAGGGCAGAGAGCCGTTTGTCTCAGCCTTCCTGGTGGGACACAGAAACGTCACCTCTGGCTCGACCTCCTCCTCCTCCAGCTGCTCCCCAGCTGCGCGTCAAAGCGCCGACCGGACCGGACCGGACTCCGCAGAGAAGATGGGATCCTCGGGCCATCTTGGCTCGGTGCTGCTCGTCCTGCTTCTGCTGGATCACTCCGCGGGATTCTGGATCGTTAATTTGGTTTTTCCCCCCAGCACCAAACCCAAACCTCTGAGCAACGACACCTCACCGCTCATTATCGGTAAGAACCGGGCTAATTCTGGAGTTTAGTCCCAACTGGGAGTGTTTTAAGCTCTCAGAGGTCAAAATCTATTCTGTTTTTGGTTTTAATAAAGGTTTTAGAAGTAATCCTCCTGCATGGTCTTTTGTGTAGCATTTAAACACTAAAACTCACTATTATTCATCATCAAACGTATTTAAGTAAGCGAGTGCTGTTATTACACCTTAACGTTGGTTTTTATAGCTGAAAAGTGATTTTTATCTCACCTGGTGCTGAGAAATGCCTTTTATTTTGGAAAGTGACCAAACTTGAGCAAAAGCTGCCAAGAATTACAGCTATAAGGTCAAAGGTCAGTTTCCTTATATAAGTCTAAATATAGCAGCTTTCCAAAGCAGTCCTGGAACAAAAGATGTTCTTTATAACTTCTAAAGATGAGTAGAAGAGTGAGAGTAATCCGCAGCTGTTTGCTTTTCTCTAACTGAAATCGCAGGTTTGTTTTCCTGGTTTTGTGTTCAGTGCCGGGGAGTTTGGGGAACCGGCTGGAGGCGAAGGTAGACAAGCCAACGCTGGTTCACTGGTTGTGTTACAAGAAAACGGAGCACTGGTTTCCTCTGTGGATTGACCTGAACATGTTCATGCCCATCGGAGTGGACTGCTGGATCGATAACATCAGGTAACGCTGATGGACAAATACTGAAAATCATGTCATCCGTGAACTTTTAGCCCTTAGAAAGATGGCGTGTTCAAAGTGTGGCCCGGGGGCCATTTGAGGCCCTTGGAGTAATTTTGTGCGGCCCCCAGTGGCAGAATGATTATCTCTATAGGCTGTCTATGTAAATAATAATAATAATGTAAAGAGACACATTAACATTTTTATGTTCAGATTTTTACTAAAATGCTTATTTTAAATCTATTTTACCTACAACTAAAAATGATCACATTTTTTAATGAGTCATTCATTCAACTTTATTTATAAAGCCCCCCCCCCCCCCCCCCCCCATCAAGGGGACCCAAGGTGCTGAACTAAGTGTTGAGAACAACTGAAACACAATAAAACAGCTCAGCTGTATAATAAAATGTAGAAATACAACATTTAAAAAGCAGTAAAAGATTAATTCAATTCAAGTTCATTTATATAGCGCCAAATCACGACAAGAGTCGTCTCAAGGACCTTCACACAGTAAACATTTATCTACAGGTCAGGTCATTAAGCCAATCAGTAAAAGGTTTCCTATATAAGGAACCCAGCAGGTTGCACCGAGTCACTGACTAGTGTCAGAGTCTTTACTGTCAGAGTCTTTACAGCAATCCTCATACTAAGCAAGCATGCAGCGACAGTGGAGAGGAAAACTCCCTTTTAACAGGAAGAAACCTCCAGAGGATCCTGGCTCAGTATAAGCAGCCATCCTCCACGACTCACTGGGGAGGGAGAAGACAGAGCAGACACACACACACACACACACACACGCACACAAAACATATATAAGTAGTGTTTCTATGGTTACATTGTAATTTCTTAGTAAATATTCTATTTAAAAAGCCATAAAACAAAAGTGAGCACAACATTAAAAACTAAAGCTAAGAACTAGACCTAAGATGAACCTTCAGCCTAGCTTAAAGTGGGCAGCGATGTGGACTGGTTTGTTTCCAGTGGCAGTTGGTTCAAAAGCCAAGGACCCAGAGCTGAAAAGGCACGATCACCTCTGGACTCACGCTTTCACCACAGAACCACCGGGGGGTCACTCTGACCCAAACCCGAACTTAGCGATCTTGCAGAGACGTAGCGGGTCAGCGGGTGAGGCCAAATATGGTGGGGCAGTTCCAGACAAAGAGCTAAAAACAAAGACCAGGATCTTGAATAAGATAGAGTGTTTCACTGGTAACCAGTCCAAAGCAGTCAGGAGGGGAGTGACATGCTTCCACTTCCGTGCTCCATAAAGAAACCTGGCAACAACATTCTGGAGAAGCTGCTGCCGAGTCAGTAAGGACCGGCTCGAGCCAGCATACAGAGAGCTGCAGTACTCTAATCTCGAGGTAGTAAAAGCATCGGCTGTGGTTTCCAACTCCCGTTTTAGGAGGATCGACTTAATCTTAGATAAGCGCCTCAACCGGTAAAAAAAAGAACGAACAACAGAATTTACCTGCAGAGTCTATTTTAACACCCAAATGTGTGATCACAGACTTCTTGTGGGAGAGCAGCGATAAAAGGTCCAATCCAGGCAGCTGACAGTCATTTGGGATAAAAACTATTAACTTCGGTTTTGCCCTCATTTACACTCAGGAAATTGGATCCCATCCACTGAGTAACGTCCTGTAAATAGCTCACCAGCGGCTGTATGCTACCCCTGGCCCCTTGCTGAATTGGCAAATAAAGCTGACAATCATCAGCATAGAGATTGAAGCTAATTTTATGTTTCTTAAAGAGCAAGTCACCCCAAACCAACTTTTTTTCTGAAAAACTACATAAATGTGTGTCTAATCGTGCTGCTGACACGTGTAGTCAATAGTTTTGCACTTTAGTGCATTTTAGTTAAAATTTAAATTTTCTGTCTAAAACTGTCAGTGTTGTGCCGTTGTCAGGTAAAAACTCTGCACTGCATTTGAATTTAAATCTGCCATCACTATTGGCTAAGAGGTACCCTAGAACGTTTGCTGGTACCATATGATGTCACAATGTCGTTGTGAGCCTGTGTGTGTGCGCATTTGTTAGCAGCTCCGCCCTCTCGATCTGCTAGGCAACAGCATTTGTTGCATTTCAAACAGGAAATAGGAGTGGAGTAATACTCTGGTAGGGGGTGACTTGCTCTTTAAACCACAGTCCCAGTGGTAAGAGATAGAGCGAGAACCGCAGGGGGCTCAAAACAGAGCCCTGGGGAACCTCCACCTAAGCTCTGCGTCTCTGGATGAAAAAGAGCCAAGGGAAACAGAAAAAGTCTCATCCATCAGACAGGACCTCATCCACTCTAACGCAGAACACGAGAGTCCTGCACAGTGTTCCAGTCGATTCAACACATCTGATGGTCAACAGTGTCAAAAGCTGCTGTTAAGTCCAGCAGCAGCAGAACCACAGCCTCCCTAGCATCAGTTACTAAAAATATATCATTTGAATTTTTTAAGAGGGCACTTTCAGTTCTGTGTCCCTGAAGCCAGACTGAAACGGTTCCAAAATGTTATTTTGAGCTAGAAAAGTCTGAAGCTGCAGACACACAACACGCCCAAGTGTCTTAGCACACAAAGGCACATTAGAAATGGGCCTACAGTTGGAGAAGATTTCAGGGTCACTCCCTGGTTTGTTTGAATGTGTCCGAACAACAACGTGTTTAAACTCCCCTGGAACAGTGCTGGACATTAAACTGCTACTGTTTATAGTTAAAGCAGGCGGCAAGAGCAGAAAACGCCTTAAAAACCCCAAGCTGGGTGGAGATCCAGCAGGTTGTAGGTTGCCTGTGTAAAAGAGGGACGAGAAGAAGCACATTTTGTGGCCAACAGGGACTTTTACCTCCACTGTTTGGGCCCACACCTTGCAAAGTTTAGAGTATATGATGATGATGATGATGATGAGATCTGTGTCTGTAAAAATTACTATCAGTTTAGAATAAAGCACTCTGCGCATCATCCACTCACAAGTTGGTGCTCCACAGCCGACAGAAGTGGGGCTGGAGCACGCAGGTGAGTAAAATATAAACAAGAAACTCACCTTTCGACTCCACGTGTGTCAGACCAAGACTCACGGGGGTGAGCTTTACTCCCCCGAGTGCTCCTCTGCTACGTACAGCTATATCATTCGTTCATCAGTTGAATTTCAAAATTATAATTTTTGGAGAGATTCAAAAAAATCCGTTGAGCTGTTGTTTTCTGTCCAGGCTCGTTTACAACAGGACGACTCGACGGTCCACCAACGCACCTGGGGTCCAGGTACGGGTCCCTGGCTTTGGGGAAACCTACTCCATTGAGTACCTGGACAGTAACAAACTGGCTGGTGAGAGAAACCAATCTTTACCAGCTGATCTGAGGAACAAAATCCAAATAGCTTCATCAGACTAAGTTGACCTTGTGACGTTCTTGTTCAGGTTATTTTCATACCATGGTGCAGAGTTTGGAGAACGTTGGCTACATCCGGAACGAGACGGTCCGTGGAGCTCCGTACGACTGGAGATTAGCGCCACGTAAGAAGTCCCTCATGCTGCAGACCGGCGGCTTTTCACCACCACGCACGCTCGTATCTGGGGTGAACATGCAAACGTGGAGATGTGATCAAAACGTGCATCAGAGAGAAAGAAGGCTGCAGAACATCTCCCAGGGATCACAAATGTTCAGTGTGTGACTTCAAAAGACCTTTTTTTAAACAAAAGTTCCCACTTGCAGCAGGATAAGTTGTGAAGACATCACCTGATGAAGTCAGAGCCTCTAGAAGAAAACCCAACATTTACATTCAGTTGATGTTTTCTGACAAGAAAATCCAGCATCAGCCATTTTTTTACTTCTTTAATTCTTAAAGGGACTTTTCGGAGGTTTGAATTTTTATGCTCGCGATTGCCCCCTCAGGCCAAAAGCGTAATGGCAGCTTCAATAGTAGGCTCGTGCATGAGGCGCTCATGCTGTACGTGCACACTCCTTAACGAAAATAACAGCCGAGACAGTCCTGTGTGTGTGTGTGTGTGTGTGTGTGTGTGTGTGTGTGTGTGTGTGTGTGTGTGTGTGTGTGTGTGTGTGTGTGTGTGTGTGTGTGTGTGTGTGTGTGTGTGTGTGTGTGTGTGGCCCAGAGGACAGGAGAACACGCAGCTAATTAATTAAATAATGTGGTTCTGTACCTTTCTCTTCAGCACAGCCGACAAAGGTTTATGATGGGTCAATCCTCCTGCATGCTCAGATCATTCCCTTCCCTTGCTTGAAAAATTGTTCCAAAATGAAAGTTGAACCCACATCTTTTTTATCTGTGAATTCAATGCCGTTCGGGGAGTCTCAAATAAAAATGTGGGCGTCTTACTGTAAAAATTATCCCATTAATGTAAAAAGGAAACTAAATAAACTATGTTCACACCCAGAATCAAACCCAGGTCTTCTGCACGAGAGTCCGACATTTTACAAAGTTAGCTAAAGTGCCAGTGACATTATTTGTATCTGTAACATTTATATCCTTGATGACAGCTGAAACAACGTCAAACCAAAGAACGGTTCGGAGTGAAAATGGCTATTTTGTTGCTAATTTGCAGGAAACATCTAGAAGAAAGTTCTACAGAAAGTAGCTAAGGGTCCTCAGAAATGTAGCTAGCTTTGTCACTAGGCGTTAGGAACAGCGACAAAGTGGCACTGCCTCTCTCTCTGCTGCTAAAGCTGCGGATAGCAAATGCTACGGGCGATGCCTGAGCGTGAACGCGCATGAAGCAGCCTGCTCGACCCGAGCATCTCTCTTTTTCTGTGATTTTACAGAAAAACAGGCAATCACAGTAAAAATGCCAGGGCTCATTCTACAGGACCAGGGCATTGCAGGAGAATGTATGAAGAAGACATTTATTATTTCTATACATGTTTTGGCTGTCAAACTTCCATAATGCCCCTTTAAAAAATATGCATAAAAAAATGGAAAATGTCACATTTAGGCTTACTTTCATCCAATCCCTGACACTTACCACTACTTACTCCAGTTTTATTCACCAACTAGCTGCTGACGTTTGTTTTGTTTGGGTCTTGTGTACATTAGGTAGAACAAAAATCATCTAAAACGTGTCGTGCTTTGGTAAAAGAGGATATGTAAAACTATGAGGTCAGGCAGATGATGGATTTTGGAGGAAAATCATTAAAATGACCGTAACTCTAGAGTGTATTTATTACATTGTGATGCATAAACAGCCGTTTTTGTTTTTTCTCCGCAGACGAGAACACGGAGTACCTAACGAAGCTGCGGGCCCTGGTGGAGGAGATGTACGAGCAGTACCAGAAACCCATTTACCTGCTGGGACACAGCATGGGCTCCAACTACGTCCTGTACTTCCTCAACCAGCAGCCTCAAGCCTGGAAGGACAAGTACATCAGGGGCTTCATCTCCCTGGGTGCTCCATGGGGGGGTGCCGTCAAAGTGGTCCGAGTCTTAGCTTCAGGTAGTTCCAAATAAAAACACGCTCAATCTGGAAGTCTCAGAACGCGGAATTACCTTATTTTTCTTGGACCTGACAACTTAATTCCAACTAAATCATTTTATTCACCCATATTTTTTTATTTTCTGCAGGTGAGAACGACGGCATCCCAATGATCTCCAACATCAAGATCCGCCAGAAGCAGAGGATGGTGACAACCAACCTGTGGATGCTGCCGTCTGAGGACATCTGGCCACAGGACCACGTTTTTGTCTCCACGCCGACCTTTAACTACACCCACAGGGACTACCAGCGCTTCTTCGCAGACATCGGCTACGAGGATGGCTGGTGACTTCCACTTTTACTGTTTTTTAATCTATAAAACATGAAACGTCTTTGTATAGGGGACAAATCTGGTTTGCAGCGCACCAGGCTAAAGGTCAAAGGTGACAGATCATCTGCTGCTGTGGCCCCCAGACTCTGGACCTCTCTCCCCCTGAGCCTGAGATCAGTGGACTCAGTGGTCTCCTTTAAAAAGCAGCTGAAGACTCACTTGTTCAAGCTGGCTTTTGTATGACCTTCTTCACCTCTCTCTCTTTATTCTGCTCTCCCCACCTATTCCACCTTCCTCAGGATCCACTGGTTTCCCTCTTTCCTATCCACTCTCTCTCTTTCTTAACATTTTTTCTTTTAAATCGCAATTGCTTATTCTTGCTCATTTTAAATATATTTTTAAACATTTTCTAAATGCATTTTTATATTTTTACAATTTTTTATATTTTTTGTTTTTGTTGTTGTGAAGCTCCTCGTGATTTTTATCTTGAGAGGCGCTATAGAAATGATATTTTCTTCTTCTTTGATGAGTCAGCTGGACAATGACATCAACAGTTACTTGTTTAATTCCTGTTCTGGTAAAATAAAGTTCCAATTCATTCATGAATCAAATATTTACACACAGAATAGAAGTAAAAGCATTAATTAGACTTGATTTTAAAACTTTCTCTGTTGCGTTTAAAGAAAATCGTCCCGTTTTTCCAGTTAAGCGTTTGTTGATTTAGCCTGACGTAACGGAGCTTGTTTATTGATGCGTACTCTGAACCGGCCGGTCCAGGTCGGTTGGGTTTTAGGTCCATCTGCTGCTGCTTGATGATCCATTCACCTGTAAAAGACTTGAGTTTAGCTCTTCTACCAGCGCTCTTTTAAAGGCTGAGATTCGTGTTGTATATGAAGATCATTGATCAGGATGTTTGGACAGAAAACGACCGTCTATCACCTCTAAAATCTCTGTTCTGCTGCATCGTCTTTGTTCGTGGTTTTTGACGTGGAACTATTTTTGGGTTGATTGCAGGTATAAGTGGGAGGACACCAAGAACCTGACCGGTGCTCTCCACCCGCCTGGCGTAGAGGTGTGGTGTATGTACGGCGTGGGGCTTCCGACTCCCGTCACACACATCTATGATGCAGAGTTTCCTGACGGAGACCCGGTGGACTTTGTTTACGCAGACGGGGACGATACAGTGGACAGCTTCAGCATGGGGCTGTGCAAACGCTGGGTAGGGCAGCAGGAGCAGCCCGTCCACGTGACAGAATACAGAGGACTGCCTCACCTGGACATAGTGTTCCACGAAAAGGTGCTCGATCAAATCCAGCAGATCCTGGAGGGCAAATCAGATGCACCCAAAGAGGTTGATGTCCGTTTTGAGGCTAAATGACTGACATCAGACCGCCACTTTCTGACATCACTGACTTCAGGTTGCTTCCCACGGCCGCCTGTGGTTCAAAAAGCTGCAAACCAGTGTGGATTTGAACCTTCGGCCTGTTCGACTCGGGTCTCTGCGCTGATCAATCAGAAAGTCTTTAAATCGCAGTAAACTTATTTGACTCAGACACTTCATTTATTCTGTTCTGTTACATGTTCTGTTTGGTCAAATAAAACCTGTATTCTGTTTAATATACGAACACCCAAAAGACCGGTCTAATAAAGTGTTTCTTTTAGGTTTTTATATGTTTGTAGAATCCAGCACTAAGCAAGTGTTTTCCACTGTTTTTAAAAGCTACAAATTTTCAGAAGAACTTGAATTTCACTTTTTTTTTTGAAGATGTGCAAAAACAGTTCACACACTCTTATTTTTGCATTTAAAAAGGAATAAAAGTCACTTTTCACAGTCTGTGTTTGTGTTTTTAACGTCAGCCTTTACCACGCTGAGGTTAAAACGCCTCGAACATCTGGATAGCTTTACTGTAAAACTATCCAGATGTTTTCATCTGAGCCTCTTTAAGTCTGGAGATTTAAACTAAACTGCAAAGATTCACAAACTGCTTTAAGAAAGACATTCTCCTGTAGGACAGCTTGTTTCAGATCCAAACGCCTCTGTAAACATTAGAGGTATTTTTTGTTTATGAATTTGGTTTTGTACCTTCAAATGATTAAAACCATCACAGAAGTAAACGTTGTGGTTTTACTTCCCTTTTAAAGCACAATATGACATTCAGACTTTGGGTTTCTTTATGGAAAGCAAAGTTATAATTTATTGTTCAGAAAAAGGTTTATCTTCCTGTCAAAATCAGTATTTAACGTCAAGTTTCTGTCGACAAATTCTACTTCTCTACATTTTATTTGTTCATTGTTTTGTACGTTTAGAGACAAAGCCGTAAACAGATTATTGTAATCTATAGGAATTGTTGCTTGGAAATATTCATTCTACACTTTTCTACACTGTTGTCCAACAATAATAGCAAATATATTATGTTTTTAGCAGTAGCAGTGTCATTATTATTATTATTAATTTACATAATATTAAATCTTGGTTTTTATTTTTGCCAAAATCAATGTTAACTTTTAATTTTCACTAAAATGAATCAATGTGTGAAAGTGTGGTTTGATTACATGTTCCAACAGCCTGCCATACTGTGCGTGCTGAGACACTCCGCGGCTCGACGACATCTGCGATGGATTAGTTGTGCCTTGATTGCTAAATTTCCTGGTTGGATTTCTCTGTTATCCGAACCTCGTGACTGTTTTTGTTTACTGGCCATCGTTATCGGATGTTTGGCACCTCGGGTGGATTTAAGGGAGAAGCAGAACGACTCGGTGGCGGAGCTGCTCACACCGGGAAGAGGACCGTTTGGCTATGAGACATCGGGAGTCATGGCGGGTCGGCACCGGGTCACCGCGCTCTCTGTCGGCGTGTTGTTGTTGATGATGTCGGCTCGGAGCAGCGGGAGACCCGAGAAATGTCTCGGCAACAAGTCCTGTCGGAGACCTCCTGTCGTCCTGAGTAAGTGTCACGAGTCGGTTCTGGTTCTGATGTAGCAGGATGACAACGGCGTGTCCGGAAGTTAATTCCGGTTTTCCTGTTGTTGTTGGGTGGGAACATCGAGTTTCCAGTTTTTCCCGGTAGAAATAAAACAGACACTAAACAGAACATGAAGTGGGTTTGATCACAATGTTTGGACCGATGTTTCCGTCCGACCCGAACCCCATGTGAGGATAAACGCGTTTCCAACCATGGCACAATTATTTAAAGGGGTTTAGGCTCTATGTGGGCATATACAGAGGCTGTAGGGAATAAAATAGGATGATGCGTCAGAAAAGATGCAACTTTTCCACTTTGTTCAGTTTAATTAAAGATAAATCAAAGATTATCCAACTGGACAGCTAGAAAAAAATAACGGTCTAGCACCAAAAAGTGATTCCCAGAGAGAAACTGATGGATTTGTGTGTGTGTGTGTGTGTGTGTGTGTGTGTGTGTGTGTGTGTGTGTGTGTGTGTGTGTGTGTGTGTGTGTGTGTGTGTGTGTGTGTGTGTGTGTGTGTGTGTGTGTGTGTGTTACCAGTCATGATCTCATGACCAGGAGCAGCATCTGACTCATGAGCCTTTTCCTCCTCACCTCTCCTGGGACTTTTCTGTTCACCTGGAGTTGATGAGCGGCTAAAACTAAAACCGCCGGGCACCTTCCTCCAGGTTTGCGCTGTGGCGGGATCTCATTTCATCAGTCTGTTGCTCAGAATGTCAACACAAGCCCGATAAGAGTTTGATCTGAGAGTCGCTACGATTAAACTTGTGCAAAGTTAAACTCCTGAGATGATTAGCTGCTGGTCTATAGTAAGTAAGTAAGTAAAAGTTTATTTATATAGCGCCTTTCTCAGATATAAATCACAAAGCGCTGTACAACATGATAAAGATCAGGGCAAATACCTCTAACCAATAAAAACACCAGAAAAACAATAGCAGTGATAAAGTAGAAAATAAAATCATGAGTATAAACAAAGTGAAGGTGTGAACCCGAACAAAGCCATCTTTCTGAAACATTTAGGGAGGGAACGCCTGGATGAAAAGGTGAGTTTTTAGATGATTTTTAAAGATCTCTACAGTGTTAGAGAGACGGAGATTTGAAGGTAGACTGTTCCAAAGTCTGGGTGCAATAGTCTGAAAGGCCCTGTCCCCTTTGGTTTTCAGTAGTGTGTGTGTGTGTGTGTGTGTGTGTGTGTGTGTGTGTGTGTGTGTGTGTGTGTGTGTTTTGAACAATCCGTTCAAATCAATGTTCTGTCTGCGTTGGAGGAGATAATTTCGAGAGTTTTTGGTTGTGAAACAGCAGCCAGTGAAGGATCAGTGACCCTAAGATCAATGAGGACGATCGAGCCCAGACAGGAGGGTGTTTGTGTTTCGCCATCCTGACTAAATGTGTCCAGTAGCAGACTCTTGAAGAAGAAGAAAATATCATATCTATAGCGCCTCTCAAGATAAAAATCACGAGGCGCTTCATAAAAACAAAACAAAAAAATATATAAAAATATTTTAAAAAGCATTTAGAAAATGTTTAAAATGAGCAGAAATAAGCAATTGCGATTTAAAAGAAAAAAATGTTAAAGAAAGAGAGAGAGTGAACAGGAAAGAGGGAAATCAGTGGATACTGAGGAAGGTGGAATAGGTGGGGAGAGCAGAATAAAGAGAGAGAGGTGAAGAAGGTCATACAAAAGCCAGCTTGAACAAGTGAGTCTTCAGCTGCTTTTTAAAGGAGACCACTGAGTCCACTGATCTCAGGCTCAGGGGGAGAGAGGTCCAGAGTCTGGGGGCCACAGCAGCAAATGATCTGTCACCTTTGACCTTTAGCCTGGTGCTGCACAACCAGTAGGCTTTGATCACTGGACCTCAGGGACCTGCTGGGGGTGTAGGGACTAAGAAGATCACCAATGTAAGATGGTGCTTGTCCATGTAAGGCCCTATAGACCAGAACCAGGATCTTGAGGAGTGCATCTCCCTGTAGAACTTCCAGTCCTACTTTCCTGCAGGTTCTTTTAAATTAGTTTGATGTGTTGAAACTTGTTGCTGGAATCAGATTAAATGTGATCAAAACAGAAACAGATCTCTGATTATTCTTCATGATCCCAGTTACAACTATTAAAGTTGATGCGTTTGTTTTCCCGTCTGCTCAAACGTGCTGTACCTGCACGAAACGGTCAGCTCGCGTCTCTAAGTCGGTGTTCCAGACTCTGGAGGAGCTGAAGAGTCGTTCTCTCGCTAACAGACGTGAGGATAGGGAGTTGCAGCACCAGAGTGGGTCTGGGATCAATGTTAATGCCTGTTTCTGACCGGATCGTTTTAGTCCCGGGGGATCTGGGAAACCAGCTGGAGGCGAAGCTGGACAAGCCCAGCGTGGTCCATTACATCTGCTACAAGAAGACCGACTTCTTCTTCACCCTGTGGCTCAATCTGGAGCTGCTGGTCCCCGTCGCCATCGACTGCTGGATCGACAACATCAGGTGAGTCGTTTTGTGGAAAGTATTATAGATTTATGAATGTCATCAATGGAAAATTTGAGGACTTAGTATGAAGATCTAGCAATTATCCTTTTCTGTGAGTCCTCCAGCTGTGAACTTTGTTCATTTGAACTGGGTCGCTCCCTCGTCTCCTCATTATTCTCATCCATCGTTCACCAAGACCCAACAATAACTTTGTAGACGACTTCTAGAGTTTCTCGGTGAGACTATTCCAAGACACCATCAAGACTTATTTATTGGGTACTCACCTTCTCAGTGGCCTAGTGGTAGAGCATCCGCCCTGGGACTGGGAGAGCGGGGTTCTAATCCCGGTTGGGTCATACCAAAGACTTCAGAAATGGGGCCCAACGCCTCCCTGCTCGACACTCCGCTTTAAGGGGTTTTATTAAGCCTGAGTCATGCTTCTGCGTCAGCGCAGAGACACGCAACGCCATTATCCGTCCTTGCGGGCCTGCTGGAGAGCTCCGCAAGGACGGACGGTGTCGAGCTCTCTTTTCTAAACATCCGTCCGTCGAGACGGACAACACAAGCTTGTGATTGGTCAGGGCGCCGCTGTCGTCTACAGCGCCGCCATTGCGCCCTCAAAAACGTAAAGAGAGCCGAGGATAACTAGCGGCAGACGCGGAGCAGCTTGAAGAATACCTCGCAAAAAAACTCTACAAATATGAATGTTTAATTCCCCCGTGACTGGAGGAGTGAAAAGATGCGCAGCAAGCGTTTTATTTGTGGACGGAAATGACAGGAAACGTGGGTTTAGAGGTGGCGAGCGCATGAAGAGGTGGAGGAGGATGAGAGACAAATTTGTCCGTGTTAAAAAGTCTCTTATATACAAAAAAAACACAATATAAACACACTATCTTGGACCGATACATGACAGGATACCACAGAACAGCGCTACGCCCTCTGCTGTCCTGGCGGGGAATTGCTTTGCAACACTCCCCAGGAGACGGAGAAGCATGAGGGCAAAACATCTCCGTCCGTGCGTGTGTGTCTCTCCCTTTTGGAGCTGACGGAGAAGCATGAATCAGGCTTTAGGGGGGTTAAACCACCAAATAGTTCCCGAGCACAGCCGCTGCTGCAGCTCACCGATCCCCATGGGGGTTGGGTCACAGGTGGAGTTGAATTTCACCAGCGTGTGATGGTGACTATGAGACTTTAACTTTAATGTACATATTTTCTGTCCAGACAAGCCAATGGTGGCTGACTTTTTAAATCTCGTGGATTATTCTCTGCGCGTCGTCCACTCACAGGTTGCTGCTGGAGGACAACGTGAATGTAAGGCAGGAGAGCTGGAGCACTCAAATGAGTCCAGATGATTTTAGAAGGTGCAGAAGAAGGAAACTAATGTTCCCACACTGCACGTCAATGCCCTACCCTGACTCTGACAACCCTGAGTTATTTCATGTTACTCCTCTTGTGCTCCTCCAGCTAAATGTTGTCGTGCGTTTAAGACCTCCGCGGTGGCCGAGTTCTCGTCCATTTTTATTTCTGAAGAGCTGCTGGTCCTGTGTCATTCAGCAGCGAGGAGCTCACCCTTCGCCTCAGCTCAGGGTGCCGTCGCTCCAGTTCGGGTGAAGAAACCAAAGCCCAAACCGAGCCGTGGAAACCCGGCGGCACTCGGTCTGTTAGGACAGAGCCAAGCAGGAACTACTGGAGGATGGCTGGATGTTGGACCAGAAACCCAGTAGACCCACTAGGACCAATATCTTCTCTGACATCATTGGCTCAAATGAATGCAGGAAGCAGTTTGGTTAGTTGGGTTTTAATCGACATTGAGTCTACCGCTGCACTAAAACGTTCATCTTTAGCTTTGCTGTAGTTGAACTTTAATAAAATATAGAATTAACTCCTGAAAATGTAAATAAGGACATTTAAGTCTTTATAAATGACATTAAACTCGCATCCAACATGTTCTAATTAAAATTCAAACGAACAAATCCGGTTTTTGTATTTATGGAGTTGCTGAATGTTTATATTTGAACTCATGTTCACCTTTAAGGTTAGTAAAGTTTCTAACTGCTGAACAGATGTTTGCTTTTCCAGAAGAAACGTCTCCTTTCTGCTTATTTATCAGCTGTTTTCCACATGAAAACTCCTACGTGTCTGGAGGCGTCCGTTCGTGTTTCCGTCGAGGTCTCGCGCCTGCTTGGCGACGTCGGAGGTGAATCTGCGCCGTAGACATAAAACTAGGGCTGCAGTGAGAAATGCTGCGATGACGATATCACTTGCGATAAATAAAAACTTAACTCGGGAACAAAAATAATCAAAAACAAAGACATAAACATGAGAAATGCAAAAGATGTGAGGAAAGGGAAAAAGAAAATGAACAAGAAAAGCAGAATCAGCAGAAAGAGCTAACGAAGCTAACTCAGGTGTTTGCTAACCATTAAAAGTAGGTGCCGTCTGCCTCGGGGGCGGGCATCTGACCTATGAGAATGATAAATGACCCGCACTTGTATAGCGCCTCTCAGAGTAAGGACTCCAAAGCGCTTTACACTACAGTGTATCATCCATCCATTCACACACATTCACACACTGGTGGGGATGAGCTACGATGTAGCCACAGCTGCCCTGGGGCGCACTGACAGAGGCGAGGCTGCCGAGCACAGGCGCCACCGGACCCTCCAACCACCACCAGCAGGCAAGGTGGGTTAAGTGTCTTGCCCAAGGACACAACAACAGAATTCTCTGTCCGGAGCCGGGATCAAACCTGCAACCTTCCGATTACTGGACAACCCGCTCAACCTGTTGAGCTACTGCTGCCCGACCCACCCAATTGGCCAAATGGGTGAAGAGCTCTATTTGATTTGTTAGAAAACATCACGCTTCCATTTGACTGGCAGAATGCATCATGAGTAGCAAACATTTGAGCTGACCATTCATTGCGATATTTATCTGCTCTTTTCGATATGCATATTGTGCATGCTGATATCGCGATAACGATATATTTACGATATATTGTGCAGCCCTACATAAAACCGGTTAGGGAAGTCGCTTTCACACATCCTAAGCTTGTGCGGTTGACTCGGCTTTACAACAGGAAGTGTTTCTGAGGTATTCGTGTGATGTTCCTGAGCTCCGGTCTGCTTACCTGTGCAGGCTGATCTATAACGGGACCACGCGCACCTCCTCCTCTCCTCCTGGTGTGAACGTCCGAGTCCCAGGCTTCGGAAAAACGTATTCGCTGGAATACCTGGACCCCAGCAAACGCAGCGTTGGTGAGTCCTCTTGCATCGGGATCACCCTGAACATCTGGATAGGTCCTCATAAAGATGTTTTGGGGTTTTTCTTGCAGAATCACTCAAAGCATGACAAACAAAACTCAGATCTGTGTTTTAGCCAACAGCTTCGAACACATTTTGTGTGTTTCAGGCATGTATTTCTTCAGCATAGTGCAGGCGATGGTGGAGTGGGGCTACACCAGAGACGACGACGTCAGAGGAGCTCCTTACGACTGGAGGAAAGCTCCGAGTAAGAAACGCTAACGGCCCACAGCCAGGCCGAGGACGCGAGACTCATCTCCTCCCGTCTTTTCTATCCTCCAGACGAGAATAAAGAATATTTCCTGGATCTGCAAAAGATGATTGAGGAGATGGCAGAGGAGGCCGGAGGGCCCGTGGTGCTCATCGCTCACAGCATGGGGAACATGTACACCCTGTTCTTCCTCAACCAGCAGCCGCAGGCGTGGAAGGACAAATACATCAAGGCCTTCGTCAGTCTGGGACCTCCGTGGGCCGGCGTGGCCAAAACGCTCCGCGTGGTTACGTCTGGTGAGAGACGCGCTGTCTGAGTCACTCTTTGATAAAACCACAACCAATCCAAACTGAGTTGAAAACAGTCGGTGGTCATTTCATTTGTGACCTCGTTAGTGTTGGTCACGGTTCTGCTGCGTGACCCAATTCGGTCCAAAATTCGGCGTTCAGACAGACGCACTCAGATTTGACCACCCAGAGAGGTTTATGGTGTTGTGGCTGCAGAAGAAGCCCAAACCATCAGCCGCCCCCGCCGTGCTGACAGCTGGTGTTTGCGCTGATAAGCAGGCACGCCGCTGTGCATTGTGGGTAAAGAACTTTGGTCCCATCTGCCTAGAGGACTTGTTTTTACAGATTAGCGCTGCTGAACGAGTCGATCAGGGTTCATAAAGGGAACCCTTTGAAATGCTTGAGCCAGGTAAACAACAGCGACGTCACTCTGGTGTGTCTGATCTGTGTTCTTGTTCTCTAACTTTAGGCGATAACAACCGCATCCCGGTCATCAGCTCACTGAAGATCCGATCCCAACAACGTTCTGCCGTCTCCACCAACTGGCTCCTTCCTTACGCCCACTCCTGGCCCGAAGATCAGGTCCGCCTGAAGGATGTGACGCCTTCTGGGCCTTTGTGTTAGCAACGCGCTAAGATTATCTGGCTCGGAGCGCGAAGCGGTGATTTAACGCGTAAAATAAGAATCTGAGAGTGTTTTGTTTTTTATCCACCTCCAGGTTCTCGTCCAAACCCCCACCGCCAACTACACGCTGCAGGACTACGAGCGACTCTACGCCGACATCGGTTTCCACGAAGGCTGGCAGATGCGTCTGGACACCGAGCCGCTGGTGTCCGACCTCAGGGCCCCCGGCGTGGCCGTCCACTGTCTCTACGGCGCCGGCGTCCCCACTCCTGAGACCTTCCAGTACTCCGACAAGTTCCCCGACGTGGAACCGACGGTGGGGTACGGCGATGGCGACGGGACGGTGAACCTGCGGAGCGCTGTTCAGTGTAAACGTTGGGCGGGGAGACAGAAGCAACCCGTCGTCCTCAAAGAGCTGACGGGCAACGAGCACGTGGACATGTTGACGAACTTCACGACGGTGGCCTACATCAAAACCGTGCTGTTCTCGCCGTGACTCGTTTACCCTCCCAAGTGTTCGCCTGGACTCTGACCGCCAAAGATTCAGGGTTCGTGTCGTCAGACGCGACTAAAAGTGTTCCTGTTGTATCGGAGAGATGCTAAATGTTTCTGTAGCCCTACGATGTTTTTCTACTGGTCTCAGATTTACAAAATATCAATGTAACTTTTTATTTCACCTGCACTATGACTAAAATATTGATTTATATGTATAAATGTGTCAAAGCCCAGGGATGTGCTGTCTGTGCCAATACCTGCCAGAGCTGATGGGTTCTGTCGGAGCCGGAGGCGTCTGATTATTTAATCCGATGTGTAAAGCACACACTAATCAGCACCGTGAAACCTTAGATTTCTGGTATCTCTGGTGATTTCCACTTAAATGTTTTCCATGCAGCCACGCGGATCCCCAGAGGTGGGTTTGTTGTTAGAATTATGTCTTATTAACCGAAAGAAAATGAACTTTATTCTAAGTTTAATCACCACCAGGAGGAGAACTCCTCTGTATTGTTTAAGGAAAGCTATAGGATGCTGTTGGAGTTCTTAGGAACAATGTGACCTGGTCATGAAAAGCATCAGGGTTCCTCCTGTCGGCTCGTTCCAGAACCCACGAAAGAACCCTTTCCTCTTTTCTGTTTCATTTCCTGATTCTCTGAAAGCTTTGGCTCAAGTTTGACTTGATCCAGACAGGAAGTACGGCTAAGACGCACGGAGAGGTAATTAGACGATGTGAAACTCGCCGCCTGTTCTGGAGACGTTCTGACCTGAGTGACTGTACCCTGCCATAACGCTCCCAGTGGGCCAGACCAAAACGGTTCCTCTGAAGGATCCCAGCTGCTGTGAGCTGTCAGAAATGTGTGTTAAACGTGCTGCCTTTTACTGAGTAAACTATTTGCATGGCACCCGGTTACGGAGTTTCTCTGATGAAACGATGTCTGGATTGGTTTGGAACAGCTTTGCTTTCACACATTCCCACTCACACGTAGAAAAATAAAATAGCACACACATTTAGTAATGTATATACCTTACATGCTATATACAGGTGCTGGCCAGTAAATTAGAATATCATCAAAAGGTTGAAAATATTTCAGTAATTCCATTCAAAACGTGAAACTTGTACATTATATTCATGCAATGCACACAGACCAATGTATTTCCAATGTTCATTACATTTAAATTTGATATTCATAAGTGACAACTAATGAAAACTCCAAATTTGGTATCTCAAAAAATTAGAATATTCTGAAAAGGTTGAATATAGAAGACACCTGCTGCCACTCTAATCAGCTGATTTACTCAAAACACCTGCAAAGGCCTTTAAAAGGTCCCTTAGTCTTGTTTTGAAGGCACCACAATCATGGGGAAGACTTCTGACTTAACAGCTGTCCAAAAGACAATCATTGACACCTTGCACAAGGAGGGCAAGACACAAAAGGTGATTGCTAAAGAAGCTGGCTGTTCGCAGAGCTCTGTGTCCAAGCACATTAACAGACAGGCGAAGGGACGGAAAAAATGTGGTAGAAAAAAGTGTACAAGCTCTAGGGATAACCGCACCCTGCAGAGAATTGTGACGACAAACCCATTCAAAAATGTGGGGGAGATCCACAAAGAGTGGACTGCAGCTGGAGTCAGCGCTTCAAGAACCACCACGAGGAGACTCATGAAAGACATGGGATTCAGGTGTCGCATTCCGTGTGTCAAGCCACTCTTGAACAAGAAACAGCGCAAGAAGCGTCTCGCCTGGGCCAAGGACAAAAAGGACTGGACTGATGCTGAGTGGTCCAAAGTTATGTTTTCTGATGAAAGCAAGTTCTGCATTTCCTTTGGAAATCAAGGACCCAGAGTCTGGAGGAAGAGCGGAGAAGCACAGAATCCACGTTGCATGAGGTCCAGTGTAAAGTTTCCACCGTCAGTGATGGTGTGGGGTGCCATGTCATCTGCCGGTGTTGGCCCACTCTGTTTCCTGAGGTCCAGGGTCAATGCAGCCGTCTACCAGGAAGTTTTAGAGCACTTCATGCTTCCTGCTGCTGACCAACTTTATGGGGATGCAGACTTCACCTTTCAACAGGACTTGGCACCTGCACACAGTGCCAAAACCACCAGCACCTGGTTCAAGGACCATGGTATCCCTGTCCTTGATTGGCCAGCAAACTCGCCTGACCTTAACCCCATAGAAAATCTATGGGGTATTGTGAAGCGGAGGATGCAATACGCTAGACCCAACAATGCAGAGGAGCTGAAGACGACTATCAGAGCAACCTGGGCTCTCATAACACCTGAGCAGTGCCACAGACTGATCGAGTCCATGCCACGCCGCATTACTGCAGTTATTGAGGCAAAAGGAGCCCCGACTAAGTATTGAGTGCTATACATGCACATTCTTTTCATGTTCATTCTTTTCAGTTGGCCAACATTAGAGAAACAAACATTTTTTCATTGGCCTTTAGAATATTCTAATTTTCTGAGATACCAGATTTGATGTTTTCATTGGTTGTCACCTATAAATATCAAAATTAAACGTAATAAACATCGGAAATACATTGGTCTGTGTGCATTGCATGAATATAATGTACAAGTTTCACGTTTTGAATGGAATTACTGAAATATTTTCAACCTTTTGATGATATTCTAATTTACTGGCCAGCACCTGTATATTATTACTTAGATTAGCCATTTTTATATTTTGCTTGATTTTACGTTATTGTATTTTTGCACAACTGTTGCAGTGAAGCTCGCACACAAGAATTTCACTCGCATGTACCAGTGTACCTGCACATGTGACGTGACAATAAACGTGATTTGATTTGACATCAGCGCCAGCTGCTGAAACTGGAAGGTGAAGTGAAACAAGTGCAGCTAATAATTTTACACTGATTTTAAATCAAACAGATATAGAGCCGTTGTCGGTACAGGATCTGCTCGGGTGCAAGATTGGGTCGGGGGTCCTTCGACTGCTGATGACGTCAAGTAGTTGAATTGGCTGAACATGAACTTTACGTAATCACGTTACGTTGGTCCAGGCAAATTTTTCTGTTGGAAAAAAAAAATCTGTTGGAAAGATGGACAACTTTTACAAAGAAATCCATCATTACCTCTTTGAAAATACACTTTTAGCATAGAGCTGCATGTATATTAGGGCTGAACGATTCATTTCATGTGCAATTAAATTGCGACGTGACAAAAGGAGATTTTCTAATCACAAAGGCTGCAATTTGGCAGCGAGTGGTTAGCGCAATGCTAATATACATGGAAAAACCCATAGGAATGCTAATGCTATCACCGATTACATCCTTACAAATCATGAATTAGAAACGTGCCAAATGATTACATTTGGAGTCTAATAGAAAGTAAAACTACCATCAATCAAATAAGTACAGATAGGTATTGTAGTACAGCCAGAAAACTTTTTACTCCAGAGTTTTGGCTAGCAGCTACGAGCGTAACTGAACTACGCTCAAAGAGGAGTTCAACATTATGAATACAATTTAGTGTTTTATTTTACAAATACCATTATAAACACAAACTTACGTCGTAAGAAACATTTTAATAACGAAACTGCTAAATTATTTCCAACAGTATAAAGATGTGTATTTTGTCCGAGTGGGTTTGCCGTACTTTGACGTCATCGGCAGTCGAAGGACCCCGAGCCGATCTTGCACCCGAGCAGATCCTGTACAGACAGGATCTCTCCATATTAGGGGCGCATTTTTTAACCAAAATTGAGAGTATATCTCGATTAGTTTATCCAACCTGCAGTACTGCAATTTCAAACAACCTAATTAAAAAGATTAACATCATCAATTTTAACTTCATTTGGAGAAATAAGCCACACTATATAAAGAAAGATCAAATGGTCAAAGAAATTAAAGATGGAGGCTTAAAAGTAATAGATTTCAATTGCCTTAACGGAACACTCAAAATTAATTGGCTAAAATCATGGCTCAAGAATCCGAACGCTTTCTGGTATTCTATCCCCAGTCATATATTTAACGAAATGGGTGGTCTAAAAATTTTACTGTTATCAGATTTTGATATAAACAAACTGCCCACAAAATTATCAGAGTTTCACAAACAAGTACTAATGTATTGGAAGTTGTTGTATGTACATAATTATTCCCCTCACTCTTCTATAATTTGGAACAATAGATATGTATTATGCCGTAATAGGTCACTATTTTATGAAGATTGGATGAATAGGAAAATTTGGTCTGTTGTACACTTGATGAAAGATAATGGTGAACTACTAGGGTATGATGAATTTTGTCTTAAATATAACTTTAGCCCTCCTAAATCTGATTTTATAAAATTATTAATAGTGCTTCCTAAAGAGGTGGTCTTCCAGTACAGAAACATTATTCAACACCAACCTATAAATCCACAGTATGGTTCTATCTCCATCCAAGGTATTCCCCTTATGGATAAAAAGTGTACCAACCAATTTATTAGACGGTGTTTTACTGATCAACTACCCTTGTAAAGTCAACAAGAACAACATAATTTACAAATTTGGTAAAAGCTCCATTATTAAACTAAGGACTCTATTTAAAACTTCCTGTTCAACCTAAAGTCAAAGAAACACATTTTAAAATTTTAAACAATGTCTATCCCTCAAAGGATCTGCTCAGAAAACGTTTTAACATTGATGATAATTCATGTTCCTTTTGTGGGAAGGATGTTGAAACAACTGATCATATTTTCTTTGAATGCAACAAGACACGGACGTTTTGGAACTGTTTTGAAAACTGGATTCAACCTCAGATTGGAATCCCATGTCCCATGTCAAGAGATGTCGTCACCTTTGGAACTCTCCTTCAAACAAACAACCAAGAACTCTGCTACAATCTACTTCTCTGTCTGGCAAAATTCTTCATACATAAACAAAAATTACTGAAATCACCCCCTGTGTTCAATGCGTTTGTACATGATTTTAGATTGTATCTAAGATCCCTTAAATGTATCAATAATAACAGCTATGAAGATATGTATAGACTTTTTTGTAGACTTCCTGGAACTGTGTAGTGGTCCCTTGCATTGTTTTTGTGGGGTTTTTTTGTTTGTTTGTTTTTGTCCTCCCCCTTTTCACTGACTGTTCAATGCTCATCTGAATACATTGGCATGTTCACCTTATTTGTAATGTAAATATGCTTTACTGCAATTTAAAAAATAAAAGATCCTGTACCGACACGTCAAACTGACTTCCTGCTGGTTTCCTCTGGCTGTTTTCATTCAGCCATGATGACTTTTATTCATCTTAAAACTGTTTTAGAAAAAAACGACTTTATAAAGATGTAAATGAGACTATTTTCACTGCAGCTTTACACAGATTTCTGTTCTGATACACAAAACCTTCATTAAAGGGACCAAAACAACTTTGATGTTTCTGCTTCAGAGACCAAAAGGTTAAAGTTTTAGAAGCGGCCTTCGCGTTTCACTCGAGAAGAATTTGTTTTTAGGGTCAATAAGTAACTTTTGGTCACTGATCATCCGATAAAGCACAAACCTTTCTCCACACAATGTGTTTCTTCTTGAGTTTGGACTCAACACCCAGAGATGTGGAGTGAAAGGTTTGATCGTAACTTTTAACCACCTATAAAACAAGCAAATTTCCAACTTCTTCATCTCTGAGGTTTCAGTAGCCGCTCACGTCAGTATCAGATCCCAGTTACAGCCCGCCATCTCCCCGGGGTGCAAAACAAACAAACACAACGTAGAAAACAAGTGTCAGCTTTAATCAGGACATCATTTTTAAATAATATAAAAATAGTTTCTAATGTCTGTTTATTCCCTCGTCGGGTGGTTGATTTGGTTGTCACCTCAAACATCTGTGGAGTCTTCATCTGCGTTTAAAATCACCAAAACCAAAACGTTTCTGTGTCACGCCTCCAGGGGGAAACGAAACGTCTTGTTTCCCGTCCTACAGCGAGCTTCCGCACAGTCCAAGATCAGGGAAGACGCTCCGTCTTCTCGGTTGTCCACTAAACTCTGTTAAGATTGAATTTAGGGTCTTTTAGGGGTCAGTGAAGCTTGACAGTCAATAATAAATGTTACATTTACACTAAAATGCTATAGAACAATCAATAAAAAAGGGTATTAAATTAGTTTCACTTCTCTAAAACTGAATTACTTGTCATCCCAGCACAACATCTCAATCCAAAATGACTTCCTATCTCTGGCTCCTTCAAAGGCAGTTCGAAATCTGGGTGTTGTGATTGATGAACACCTGACCTTTAAAGATCACGTTGCCTCTGTTGCTCGTTCATGCCGCTTTGTGCTGTATAACATACGAAAGATCAGACCATACCTAACACAACATGCCACCCAGCTCCTGGTGCAATCTACTGTCATCTCCCGCCTCGATTACTGCAACGCCCTACTAACTGGTCTTCCAGGCTGTACTGTGAGACCTCTTCAAATGGTCCAGAACGCAGCGGCGCGTCTGGTCTTCAATCAGCCAAAAAGAGCACACGTCACCCCTCTGTTCATTGAGCTCCACTGGCTACCGCTAGCAGCACACATCAAATTCAAATTGCTAACACCGGGTTGGCCACGCCCACCTCCACCAGCCGGTCCTTGGAGAAGGGAATCCCAGGAGCGAGACAGCTGATAGGCCCCCTTGTCTCGGTTCATGTTCGCACCTGTGATTCCCTTCTCCAAGGACCAGCCGGCGGAGGTGGGCGTGGCCGACCCGGTGGATCTGACAGATCCGGGTTGGTCGCGCCCACCAGAGGAACAGCTGATAAAGACGCGTCACACAAACATCTGTGACATTTCTGAGGAAGACTGCAGACGACGGTTGAAACGTGTCAAGGTAACTCTTAACGCCTTCATGTCCGAAACGAAAAGAACCTCGTTTAATGATCTGGATTTTGTTCTCATAAGGTATTTTTTTCCTGAAGAGGAGCAGGAACGGTGTCTCAGTACCTGCAGCTCCTGTAAAATCTGCTTCATTTTCTCCGTCTGATCTCCGACACACCAGGCCAGACTCACGTGGAAAGACGGATCCTGCAAAAGAAACCCCTCGCTGGATTATAGGAACAGATTATACGTTAATTAGCAGAAAACATTATCGTTTTGTTGAATCTTAAACAGATTTGAGAATGAAATAATTATTCATTATTTAACCAAAGTTTTCTTACTGAATATCTGTGTGATATTTAATATTAGCTAAAACATTTTGGCCGCAACTACAGCACGTCTACTTTGTTATTTTACGTGCAGATTAGAGTCGTTTACTTTGTGAAACATAACGTTTGCAGTTATTGAACGTTTGGCGTAGGCAGCCTGAGCTGCTCTCATCTCACTGATTTTGTTTCCGTCCTCGTTAAAAAAGCCCAGCAGTGAGATGGAAACGTTTAATAAAAATGAAAGAATTCATGTTTTCACTCTTGTATCGAAACCTTCAAAGCAGTAACGAAAGAAACTTCAACTCAAAGTAGACTTTTTGATCTTTTCTTTGTTAAATGATACCAACCTTGTAAAAAGTTTCCAGCTGAAACTCGGTCATTGTTTTGTCAACAGCTTGGATGATATCCAGCAACTGAGCATGCCCAGGAGACACTTCCATTCCCAGGAATGTCCTACAGGGAATAAACACGTCAGACACAGAATTACGGAACAGCAGAAATGCAACCGGTGTATTTAGATAGATGCCAAACAACATAGGTATTACATGGATGGTTAAAGGGACTTTACGGAGTTTTGAATTTTTATGCTCGCGATTGCCCCCTCAGGCCAAAAGCGTAACGGCAGCTTCAATAGTAGGCTCGTGCACGAGGCGCGCATGCTGTACGTGCACACTCCTTAACAAAAATAACAGCTGAGACAGTCCCGTGTGTGTGTGTGTGTGTGTGTGTGTGTGTGTGTGTGTGTGTGTGTGGCTCGGAGGACAGAGGACAGGAGAACGTGCAGCTAATTAATTAAATAATTTGGTTCTGTACCTTTCTCTTCAGCACAGCCGACAAAGGTTTATGATGGGTCAGTCCTCCTGCATGCTCAGATCATTCCCTTCCCTTGCTTGAAAAATTGTTCCAAAATAAAAGTTGACCCCACATCTTTTTATCTGTGAATTCAATGCCGTTTGGCGAGTCTCAAATAAAAATGTGGGCGTCTTACTGTAAAAAATATACCATTAATGTAAAAAATAAACTCTAAATAAACTATGTTCACATCCAGAATCAAACCCAGGTCTTCTGCATGAATCAGACATGTTACAAGGTGAGCTACACTCTAGTAACATTCACAGTATCTGTAACATTTATATCCTTGATGACAGCTGAAACAACGTTCAAAGAACGGTTCGGAGTGAAAATGGCTATTTTGTTGCTAATTAGCAGGAAATATCTAGAAGAAAGTTCTACAGAAAGTAGCTAAGGGTCCTCAGAAATGTAGCTAGCTTTGTCACTAGGCGTTAGGAACGGCGACAAAGTGGCACTGCCTCTCTCTCTGCTGCTAAAGCTACTGATAGCAAATGCCACGGGCGATGCCTGAGCGTGAACGCGCATGAAGCAGCCTGCTCGACCCGAGCATCTCTCTTTTTCTGTGATTTTACAGAAAAACAGGCAATCACAGTAAAAATGCCAGGGCTCATTCTACAGGACCAGGGCATTGCAGGAGAATGAATGAAGAAGACATTTATTATTTCTATACATGTTTTGGCTGTCAAACTTCCATAATGTCCCTTTAAATATTTGTGTATTCTCTTTACTTCTAAAGTCCTCGTTGTTGTTTCTATCACTGACAGTCGACGTCAGCTCAGTTCAGCTTTAGAGGGAGACTGAAAACCAACACAGCTCAGATGAAATTTTAGCATTTGAGGTCAGAGCTGGGGCAAAGCCAGCGAGTAGAGATAAAAATTGGGATTTGGTGAATCAGTGTTGTGTCTGAGTTTTTCAATGTACATAAAAAATAAAGACGTAAAAATGTAATGAAGGCTTAAAAGGCTCCACCTCGTCTTCTCAGCGTTACAATAGACCTTCAGTCGTTCAGCAGAACACAAGAACCTGCAAATCCAGAACAACTGAAATTAGAATCTCTACAACTTCTCATAAAACGTTCACATGTTTTTATTCTCTAACTGCTCTGGGAGCTCTGATGTTACACAAGCTGTTAAAAGATTAAATTAACAGTTGATTCAAGCGTATAAATGTCACATCTATGCTTTGCACTAGCCTAATACATACCATTAGAACAATCTAGCATAACAATTGTGAAAATCCTCAGAAAAAAGGACAAATCACCAAATGGTTCCCGGGCGCGGCTGTCTGCAGCTCACCGCTCCCCCACATTAGTGTGTGTGACAACTAATGGGACTTTAACAAATACACAGAATGGTAATTACACCTTTTGCAGTGGGACAGACTTCTCCTAAGGCTCTGTGCGAATGGTTGGATCCAGTGGTGTCTGAGCACTACTGTCTGAGACAGGCTGAGGTGGAACTCCTCTTGCAGAGTCAGAACAAGACCCCGAGTCTGTGACAACAACAGAAGCTCCTCCATCAAGCTCTCAAACTCCTCCTCCGGATGGTCTAGTGAGACAGATGAGAAATCAGAATTATATCATGATTGATTGTTTATGTTTTATACTTTGAGCTGTTCTTACAGGGAAAATACACATAAGTGGCCCAGTTTCCTCTCTCGTGCTTGAAGGAGCGGATGCGTCCACCGTGAAGTGAGCTGTCTTCTGTCTGTGGAGCATCTTCATCAGGAAACATGTCCAGGAGGCACCCAGGGACAGGAAGCCTGCAGGAAACCCAGCCGAGTCGGAGTTATTTTATTTCCACCAAAAATTAATAAACTGAATAGTTGACACCAAAAGTGGCAATATTCAATGTTTTCAGTAGAATAGGGTGTTTAAGACGTGCTGTTCATTCCCTGTAAGCAGCCTAGACTTGACAGTGCATTAAACTGTTTATCACAGCAAACACAGAAGAGGCTGAAGTACTTTCTTAGCATATTAGTCTAATTTCTCTCATCATCACAATAAATACTGAGCTAAAATATACAACACACACCTTGTTTTGAGTGCCAGGTCTTTTAATTTAGCTTTTTTCTTTGTTGGAAAATCCACGCTACTCTCATCTTCATTATTCACAGACTTTTGGGAACTTCGCCTCCGTGTTTTTGTCGCTTCCGCTTCGCTTCCAGCCTCACCGTCATCCTCCGAGCTGCTGCTGTATCCGACCAACATCCTAAAAATTCACTGGAATATAGTTTGTATTAATTAGTTGCCAGAAGTAGGCCAATTCACGTGGCATAATTGGCAAAAACACGAGCAAGGTTTCCTCACTGCTAGTATTTTTACTTCCGGCGTAAACAAACTGTTGTTACACTAATCTACGTCCCGCAGAAACGCCGTGCACGCTGCTAAGTCGTTCCTCTTGTATCCGATTTGAATAAATGAAAATTAAAAAACAGGATTTTAATCAGCAAAATGATCAACTGAATACATTTAAAAAGCATACAGTAGAAATAAAAATAATTTAAACAGCATGTATGTTTAATACATTCTGTGTAATTTAATTTAAAAATACAAGAAGAACTAGTAATAATAATAATAATAATAATACATTTTATTTGAGGGCGCCTTTCTCAAACCCAAGGTCACCTTACAAAGATAAAAACAAAAAACAACAGAGGCGAGATAGGGCAATAAGAGCAAAGAAGATACATAAAAATTTGAAACAATTCTTAAGTCTAGGTCTAAAGGGAATAAACTTGTCTGAATAAGTGGGTTTTGAGGTGTGCCTTGAATAATGGAAAAGAGTCCGTATTTCTAATGGCAGAGGGAAGTGAGTTCCAGAGCCGTGGAGCAGAGCAACTGAAAGCTCTGCTCTCCAGGGTGGTAAGGCGAGCTCGAGGTTGAACCAGATGAAGTGCAGCTGAGGATCTAAGAGATCGGGAAGTGGGTCGGTGCAATAGTTAGTAAGTTGCATAGATAAAGTGGAGCCATGCTATGTACAGATTTAAATGTAAGTAGTAGGATCTTGTATATGATCCTGAATTCTATTGGCAACCAGTGTAGGTTTTTAAGAACAGGAGTGATGTGATTTCTTGAGGGGGTCCCAGTAATGATGCGTGCTGCAGAGTTCTGGAGAAGTTGGAGTTTATGAAGGGATTTAGTTGAGAGACCAAATAGATGGGAATTACAGTAGTCGACTCGAGAGGTGATGAGACTATGAACGAGGATTGCAGCAGCATGAGGCGTGAGAAAAAAATAATAATGCATTGAACTTATATAGCGCTTTTCTAGACACCCAAAGACGCTTTCACACACTCTCACATTCACACAATGCTAGTGATGGTAAGCTACTTGTAGCCACAGCCGCCCTGGGGAGGTCTGATAGAGGCGAGGCTGCCATTTGGCGCCGTCGGTCCCTCTGACCACCACTAACACAGGCAAGTTGGGTGAAGTGTCTTGCCCAAGGACACAACAGCAGGATACCCCTGGCGGGAGCTGGAATCGAACCCATGACCCTCCGATCATGAGGCAACCCGCTCTACCACCTGAGCTACTGCTGCCCCTAAAGGACAGAGTCTGTTGATATTGCGAAGATGGTAAAATGCGACTCGAGTAACATGGTTAATGTGAGATTGGAATGAAAGTGTACCATCAAGTATGACACCAAGACTTTTTACCTGTAAGGATGGGTGAACTGTGGAGACGCCAATATTGATAGAGAAGTTGGGAGAATTTTTTAAAACAGAAGCGGTGCCAATGAGTAGGAGTTCTGTTTTATTGCTGTTTAGTTTAAGTAGGTTCTGAGAGAGCCAAGATCTAATTTCAGATAGACAGTTAGAGAGGGAGATTGGTGGAAGGGATGCATTTGGATTGGAGGAAATGTACAGCTGGGTGTCATCAGCATAACAGTGAAAATCAACGTTGTATTTGCGGAAAATGTAACCAAGGGGGAGCAAGTAGATGATAAATAAAAGAGGGCCTAGAACTGAGCCTTGGGGAACTCCTGCAGTAACCGGGGAAGAACTAGAAGAGTGAGATTGAAGTTGAATGAACTGAGTACGATCAGATATGTAGGAGGTGAACCAGGCTAGGGATGTGTGACTAATGCCGATAGATGCTAGTCTTTTGAGAAGTACGCTGTGAGAAGTGGTGTCAAATGCAGCACTTAGATCTAGTAAAGCCAGAATGGAGAGATGGCCTGAGTCTGTTGCCATTAGTAGATCATTTGTGATATTTACTAGTGCTGTCTCCGTGCTGTGTTGTGGCTGAAAACAGATTGGAATTGTTCATATAGATTATGAGAATTGAGATATGAGTGAAGCTGAGAAGCAACAACTTTTCCAAGGATTTTGGAAATAAATGGTAATTTAGATAATTGGACGAATATTATCAAAGTTGGTGGGATCCGCACCAGGCTTTTTGAGAATCTGAATGATACAGGCAGTTTTTAATGCTGCAGGAACGACTCCGGTACTGAGGGAAGAGTAAATGATGGTGGATATGAGAGGAACCAGTGATGGAAGACAGGCTTTAAGTAGCACTGTGGGGAGAGGGTCAAGCTGACAGGTGGATGATTTGTATTCCCTGATTAAATTTGATATCTCAGTTGCAGAGGGGAGACTGAAACTTGAGAATAAATGACTTGGAGTTGTCAGGATGGGTTCAACTTCTGAAAGAGGATGTCTAGTAGCATGGAGTTGTTGGTGAATAATTGAGATTTTGGATGTGAAGAAGGACATGAGGCAGTTGCAATAGTCAGAGGAAACCATACTGTTAAGCAATAAATCAGGAGGCTTTGTAATTTTGGAGAACAGAGAAAAAAGATAGATGATAGATAGATAGATAGATAGATAGATAGATAGATAGATAGATAGATAGATAGATAGATAGATAGATAGATAGATAGATAGATAGATAGATAAACTTTATTGTCCACCTCGAATTGAGGACATGGCTCACCTTACAATACAATCCATATCGCATTCACACAAATATATAAAAAGACAATTAAAAGTTATTAGAATGTTATCGTCGTAAAAAAACTTTAATAATTCAAAATTGTAATTGCGGTGGGAACAAATGATTTCTTATAGACACCTTTCTTGGTCAGTGGAACTTGTTACCTCCTTCCTGATGGAAGTAACTGAAAATGTGTGCATGTTTTCTTAAGCCCCGCCCCCTCTTATTGTTTCTTTAGTCGGGAGTCAACTTAGACCAAAAAGAAATCAGCTTCATTTATTCATGTAAATATGTATTTTCCAGTTCATTTATTGTGGCTTTTTTAATAAGTTTCATGAAACTGAAAAGAAATATACAAGCTATCTGCGTGCTTTGCCCAGCCATGTTGTGAAGCACATGTTTAAGTAACTTTTCATCAGATAACTCTACTTTTGTTTTTCAGATGTTATGAATAAAAATGGAGAGTACAAAGAAGTGGACTTCCGAAAGTCTGAGAAGATGTTTTCTGAGGAGCAACCTGCTAGCAATAGTCACCGTGGGCGCAGTCCTAGTGGGTAAGTGAAATCCTTAAAATGCATTGCCATCGTTAATTAGCCTGTAGCTAACAGCATATTAGCCTGTAGCTAACAGCTCATTAGCCTGTAGCTAACTTCACTTAAGCTATGAGTAAAAGAGTCATTGTTGTAAGTTAAATTGTTTTATAGATATTTAGTTCATAAACCTGCCATAACCGTTAAACTAATCCAAAGCGAGTTGCTAGACTAGTTTTTAAGCGTCACCCAGATACATCTCTAGTTTTGTCCATCCTACCAAAGTAACTTTAATAACACAAATCCGACTTTGAGGCCGAAAAATGGATATATGTTTATTTTTGTCAATTCAAGCACTTAAGCTTTTATGTTCGATATGTTTATCATCTTAAATTCTTCCATTTGTAGAATTTTTTTAGATTATTAGCTTATTTTATTTTAACCGCCTCAGATGACCAGGTGAAACAGCGACACCTGGTGGCTTATTTTAGTTGGTGCATTAACTGCAGCTGAAGCTGTGAACGGATTTTCTGGTTGATTTTCTTGCAGACTTCCCGAAAACACTGTTGTGTTTCGTGCTATTAAACGAAATATCGAGTGTTTGATTCGATTTATATAACGCTTAGATAGTTTAAAAACGGAGAATGGCTTAGACTGTAAAATAATAAAAGTTTAAGCTTTGATGGAAGTCTTAAGTTTTTTAAAGCATAGTGCAACATTTTCCTTGCAGTTTTATTCAAGTTCTGAGGGAATTTGTCAGCAGAGCTGCTTTTGAAATATATTTTACTCCTCAAATATATATTTTTAAGGATTTTATGAAATTAATATTATTTTTGTTTCTTTTCCAAGATTATTCTAAAAGGGAATTAGACTTATTTCTCTAATTTAGCTTTAAGATTTCCTGTATTTATTTTTCCTCTAAGTGTCTTGGTAATAAGTTGCCTTCTCTGCAGTTTATCCAAAGTACGTTTGATTTTTGGAAGGTGGCACTGTTGGCGTGGTTTTGAAGTCCCACTTCACCCTGTCATCGGTCGCTAAAACCTACATGGACTTCCCAGGAGAAATCCTTACCAAGTTTCTTTTACTGGTGTCTTCTCTGGTTGTGACTAGTGTGATTACGGGTAAGTTACAAGATTACGTCTAGGACATTTACTGGTAATTAGTAACGTGAAAGTATCAGTAATTATTAACGTACAGGTGAAAATAAAGCAGAGTTAGTCAAGAAATGTCCTCCTCACGGTGTTTACCTTTTCACCTGAGCTTTCTGCTGTTGTGTGTTTGCTGTGACCTGATCTCACCGTTTACATGACAGCTGTGTGGATAAAGGATTTGTGGAGAAGTTAGCTTACCAACGTGTTTCATTCAACAGAAGTTTCCACTGCAAGAGTCAGCCCCAGCAGGAAAATCACCTCCCGTGCACTGACCTACTTTGTCATCACCACAGCTCTCGCGTTGTTCAGTGGTAAGAGGATGGGGGAATATTTGATGATTTAACCATTATCTGTTTCTTTTTAACAACTTCACTTGGAGAGGGTGAGTAAACCATCTTATTGCATCTGAAGGTCTGGATTCCTTTAAAAAGCAGTTTTTGCTTTTGTCGCTGCAAAGAACCTGCATGAAGATCATTTGTGATGAATGTTTCTTAGGAGTACTTTTTGTAAAGCTGCTCAAACCAGGAGTCATTGACCGGCCTGTGGTGGACAATGATGAAGATGAGGAATTAGCTTGCTCCACAGCTGATCTCGTGATGGATTTCATAAGGTGAGAACAAAGTTTCCTCACATCTTTTAATTTCTCTGTGCGTTCTAAGTGTGGCAGTGTGAGCGTCCTGTCACAGTGTCCCGACTGATCATGCGCCGTGGCTACTTGGCCAAGGGGATGTCTGGTAAGCGCGCGCGACTCTCACCCGGGAGTCTGGGGATCGAATCCCGCCTGGGCCCTCGTTTCTCCACCTTGCCACATAAGTAAGAAGTTTTCGGTTCAATATTCTTTGCAACATCAGATTACATCAAGGTCAGGGAATCACACCTCCAAAGGGCTCTCTTCCAATCCACGGCCATGGGATGTGTGCAGTTACTTTTAAGCGTTTTAAGTTATCTTGGAATCGGCTCGATCGTCCTTCTAAAGCTTACCGCATCTGTACGCTTTAGAGCAGCAACCCAGAGTTCTCCCCCCTTCAGGAGGTATTTTAAAAATAACCCAGTATCAATGTATTCCCGTTAGCCTAGAACAAGGGTGTCCAATCCTGGTCCTGGAGGGCCGGTATCCAGCAGGTTTTGTGGTTTTTCTACTCCAACAGACTTGATTCAGTGGTTGAAACACCTGTGCTGCAGCTCATCAGGCTCTGCAGAAGCCTGTTAATTAGCTGCTGATTGAAATCAGGTGTGATGAAACAGAGTTCAAACTAAAACATGCAGGACACCGGCCCTCCAGGACCAGGATTGGACAGCCCTGGCCTAGAAGAACTTGATCAGATTGTTCGGTTTGGGTGCAGATGCGTTTGAAGCTCCGTTCATTCATCTCGTGTTTGTTTTCTCTTTGTGCTTTTCAGGAACTTGTATCCACATAATCTGGTCCAGGCCACCTTTCAGCACGTGTGTTTTACTCACGATCCCTAAACGGCTTGGTTGCACACAGATGATTGAACTCTCATGACTTAAATGACTTTTTTCTTAAGTACAAGACTCAAGCGGTGCTGGTGAGAGTTGAAGGAGATGGCGTGAACTCCAGCCTGGAGGAGGTGCCTGTTTTTCAGCGTTTTGCTGTGATAATACTTGATTTTCATTCCTCTGCTCTTGCTGAGTTTGCCATCTTGTTTCAGGAAGCTGTACATGTGCGTAAAGTAGGCATAAACGTCAGCGGGCCCAACGCGCTGGGACAGATCACGCTAGCGTTTCTGTTTGGACTGGGTCTCAGGAAATTCAGAAACACAGGGAAGCAGCTGAAGGAAATCATCGTCGCCGTCAACATGGTCATCAAGCTTCTGGTGGAACTGATCATCGTGGTGTACGTGGAGCTAACCCAACATGTCCAATTTAGTTCCCTACAGGTCCTTTAAATCAGACGTTATGCTGCGTTAGCCAAACTTAAACGTACAATGAACACTTCACCTGTCTGAAGGTTTCCAGTAAGGATGCAACAATACCACTTTTTTCCAAACCGACATGATACCGATACTTGGATCTGAATACTCGCCGATACCGATTACCAATACTGATACTTCTACCACACAAAAAATGCAATGATTTGGAATACAGATTTTATTTTCTTCTCTGCTTTCAACAGGAAAAGACTGTGAGGTAGATAAAAAGTAAAATATATGAATAGAAATCATCACAAAACTAAAATATTAGGTGAACAGAAATGACAAGTTACAGTGAAGCCATTTTCAAGCAACTGCATTGGTATCGGTTCCTGGTATCGGTTAACTTTTACCGTTACTGGTATCGGCACCGATACGATACTGGTATCGATATTGGCACCGATACCGGTATCGGCATAGATATGATACTGGTATCAGTTACCTTTAACCGATACCAGCATCGGCACACATAACAGTATCGGTATCATATCGACACAGGTACCAGTATCGGTATCGTATCGGCACAGGTACCGATACCAGTATCAGTATCGGCACATCCCTAGTTTCCGGGTTGACTTCTAACTTTACTAAACTGTTTCAAAATGTTCTGGGACTTTCCAGCTACCTGCCATTTGGGCTGGTGTTCATGATGGCGAGGTACGCGTACGAAGTTCCTGACGAAGCGGAGGTGGTACTCGCCCTGGTGAAGTTCGTGGCGGTGGTCGTCTGCGGGTCTGTTCTCTGCTGCTTTTAGCTCAGTTTTAAATCTGCTACTCAGGAAGTGACTGAGAATTCCCGCCAACACGTGTGTTGTCTTTAGGCTCACCCTCCACGGACTGGTGTTACCGCTCATCTATGTGCTCTGTGTGAGACGAAACCCCGCTCCCGTCATTAAAGGAGTTTCTCCTGCGCTGCTGAAGGCTCTGCTCATCTCACGCACGTAAAAACGTTTAGCTCCTAATCTTCTGTCAGAGTCAGAGAAGGCTTGTGGAGAGTATTTAGGTGTTGAGTACAGATAATAAAGACCAGACGTTCCACTTCCAGCTCTGCATCCACAGAGGCCTCGAGGTGCTGTGAGAGCATTCTCAGCATGGACAGAAGAATCACTCGGTTCATGCTGCCGATCGGGTCCGGCTGCTGCATGAACGGGAAGGCCCTTTACCAGATTGCTGCTGCTGTTTTCATCGCTCAGCTGAGCAGGGTCTCACTGGACTGGAGCCAGTTAATCACCCTTGGGTAAATCTCAGTGCTTCTAGTTTATTCTTCTAAATCAAGCCAGTTATTTTGTCAGCATGAGTTAAAGTTAGTATGCCTCTGAAGGCATTTTGTTGTTTCATCTAGAAGAAACCAGGTTTCTGTGTTTTCCTCAGTTTAACAGTCGCAGCGGTCACCGTAGGAGTGGCGGGAATCCCAGCTACGGGGTCCGTCACTACTTTCCTGATTTTGACCATCACTGGAATTCCTTTGGAAGCTGCTTCCATTCTGCCGGCCGTGGAATGGCTGCTGTAAGTCTTTTTTATTTTACTGATAACAATGGAGGGCTGCACAGGGGTGCAGTGGCTGGCGCTGTGGCCTTGCGGCAAGAAGGTCCTGGGTTCAAACCCCAACCTGGGCTCTTTCTGCAAAGAGTTTTCATGTTCTGCCTGTGCATGCGTGGGTTCTCTCTGGGTTCACTGGCTTCCTCCCACAGTCCAAAAACATGACTGTCAGGCTGATCGGTGTGTGTGTGTGTCCTGTGTCTCTGTGTTGCCCTTCAATGGACAGGCAACCTGTCCAGGGTGTACCCCGCAGGAGACAGTCACCACGACCCTACGTGGACAAGCGGGTATAGAAAATAGAGGGATGATAACAAAGGTTTCAGAAATCACAGAGTTGTGTGTGTGTGTGTGTGTGTGTGTGTGTGTGTTTGTGTGTGTGTGTTCTCAGGGATCGTCTCGGTGCATTTGTCAACGTCCTGGGAGACAGCATCGGCGTGGCGCTCGTCCAGCATTTGTCAGAAGAAGAGCTGAAACACATGGGAGCCCAGGAGCTTCTCCCAGACAGGTGGGGTCAGACGGGATTAATAATAATAATAATAATAATAATAAAAAAACTTTATTAATCCCTCGGGTGAATTCCTTCGGGAAATTCAGTTTCCAAAAAAAGCAGCGCAACACCGACAGAGGTTACAGAACGTCAGAAAATATTATATAATAATAAAAATAGAAATAAATATAAAAATACAATTGAATTGCACCTTCCGGATATCAACGTCCTTAGCACCGTTGACCATTAAACCAATTTAACTGTTTAACAAAGGTACTTGCATTGAGGTATTGCACAGTGAAGTGAAGAGTCACTACAGCTTCGGTGTCCCCCCCTCCGTTGTCCTCCTGGTTCTCCTCCCTCTCCCCTCCAGAGAGGAGTTATACAGTCTGATGGCGTGTGGGACAAAGGAGTTTTTAAGTCTGTTAGTTCTCATCTTGGGGAGAAGCAGCCTTTCACTGAATAGACTCTTCTGTTTGTTTATGGCCGTGTGCAGAGGATGCCCAGCATTGTCCATGATGTCAAGCAGTTTTTTTAATGTCCTTTTCTCTGCCACTGACACCAACGTGTCCAGTTTCATGCCGACCACAGAGCCTGCCTTCCTGATCAGCTTCTCCAGCCTAGATGTGTCCTTCTTCGCTGTGCCACTCCCCCAGCACACCACAGCAAAAAGAAGTACTCCAGCAACCACTGACTCGTAAAACATCCTCAGGAGCTTCCTGCAGATGTTAAAAGACCTCAGCCTCCTGAGGAAGTACAGTCGGCCTTGGGCTTTCTTATACAGGTGGCCTGTATTGCATGACCAGTCCAGTTTATTGTCCATCCACAGCCCAAGGTACTTGTACTTAGTGACTACCTCCACCTCCTCCCCCTTAAGTTCACGTCTTCTCTGGAGACAACACTGGGAGACTATTTCTGTCCACTAGAGGTCAGCAGAAGAGGCGGGAAACCCCTTCACCAGTCAGCCCACACATTACTTCCATTAGAAGGTGTTTTATGCTCTGGGATCTTATATAAATTACCAGTGATACCAGGTTGGGTTCAGATTGGACTGGATTAGAACGTGAGACCCCAAGGTCCACTACTGATGATGTGTCCAAAATTTTAACTCAAAATAGTTTTTGAAGAGCTTTCCTCATTTATATACAGGTGCTGGCCAGTAAATTAGAATATCATCAAAAGGTTGAAAATATTTCAGTAATTCCATTCAAAACGTGAAACTTGTACATTATATTCATGCAATGCACACAGACCAATGTATTTCCAATGTTCATTACATTTAAATTTGATATTCATAAGTGACAACTAATGAAAACTCCAAATTTGGTATCTCAAAAAATTAGAATATTCTGAAAAGGCTGAATATAGAAGACACCTGCTGCCACTCTAATCAGCTGATTTACTCAAAACACCTGCAAAGGCCTTTAAAAGGTCCCTCAGTCTTGTTTTGAAGGCACCACAATCATGGGGAAGACTTCTGACTTAACAGCTGTCCAAAAGACAATCATTGACACCTTGCACAAGGAGGGCAAGACACAAAAGGTGATTGCTAAAGAAGCTGGCTGTTCGCAGAGCTCTGTGTCCAAGCACATTAACAGACAGGCGAAGGGACGGAAAAAATGTGGTAGAAAAAAGTGTACAAGCTCTAGGGATAACCGCACCCTGCAGAGAATTGTGACGACAAACCCATTCAAAAATGTGGGGGAGATCCACAAAGAGTGGACTGCAGCTGGAGTCAGCGCTTCAAGAACCACCACGAGGAGACTCATGAAAGACATGGGATTCAGGTGTCGCATTCCGTGTGTCAAGCCACTCTTGAACAAGAAACAGCGCAAGAAGCGTCTCGCCTGGGCCAAGGACAAAAAGGACTGGACTGATGCTGAGTGGTCCAAAGTTATGTTTTCTGATGAAAGCAAGTTCTGCATTTCCTTTGGAAATCAAGGACCCAGAGTCTGGAGGAAGAGCGGAGAAGCACAGAATCCACGTTGCATGAGGTCCAGTGTAAAGTTTCCACCGTCAGTGATGGTGTGGGGTGCCATGTCATCTGCCGGTGTTGGCCCACTCTGTTTCCTGAGGTCCAGGGTCAATGCAGCCGTCTACCAGGAAGTTTTAGAGCACTTCATGCTTCCTGCTGCTGACCAACTTTATGGGGATGCAGACTTCACCTTTCAACAGGACTTGGCACCTGCACACAGTGCCAAAACCACCAGCACCTGGTTCAAGGACCATGGTATCCCTGTCCTTGATTGGCCAGCAAACTCGCCTGACCTTAACCCCATAGAAAATCTATGGGGTATTGTGAAGCGGAGGATGCAATACGCTAGACCCAACAATGCAGAGGAGCTGAAGACGACTATCAGAGCAACCTGGGCTCTCATAACACCTGAGCAGTGCCACAGACTGATCGAGTCCATGCCACGCCGCATTACTGCAGTTATTGAGGCAAAAGGAGCCCCGACTAAGTATTGAGTGCTATACATGCACATTCTTTTCATGTTCATTCTTTTCAGTTGGCCAACATTAGAGAAACAAACATTTTTTCATTGGCCTTTAGAATATTCTAATTTTCTGAGATACCAGATTTGATGTTTTCATTGGTTGTCACCTATAAATATCAAATTTAAATGTAATGAACATTGGAAATACATTGGTCTGTGTGCATTGCATGAATATAATGTACAAGTTTCACGTTTTGAATGGAATTACTGAAATATTTTCAACCTTTTGATGATATTCTAATTTACTGGCCAGCACCTGTATATATATATATATATATATATATATATATATATATATATAAAACTCTGTTCTTTAAGTGTCCCAGAAGCTCTTTGTTTCCTCCTCAGTTAGTCGCCACTAAAACAAACTGCTCATTTCTTTAGAAACTGCAGGTGATCCGTGGGTGTGGTTTAACGGGGAGACTGTGAAATATTACAGATTATTTATAAACCTGTGAACATATTTTGTCTCTTCAGTGGCGAGGCGGCAGAGCAGCCTGAACCAGATCCATCCCAGCAAGACCCTGATGTCATCAATTTGGTCATTCCAAAAGATCACTTCCTGTAGGGTCACCTGAAGGGAGCTTGAGGTCCTCCGAGTCATGCCCCCTCCCCGTTACACTTGGCTTGTTTACGTTTGATGTGAAATTTCTAAAGTTACTTTTAAAGTATTTTGAGCCCAAATTCTGTTATAAAGTTTAGGATCTTACGTGTCTGGAGTTGGGTTTCATGTCACTAAATGCAGAGAATATTAATAAATGATCTTTGGATGTTCTGAGGAGCGCTGTTTGGATCTGGATCTTATTACAGCTCCCTAGTTCAGGATGGTGGTTATAGGATGTTTCTGGACTTCCGTAAGTACTTTGATTCCAGGTCAGAGTCCATATCCTGCCATCTGAAGATTTGCTCTGAAGTGGGAACTTTCTAGTTCCTTAGACCGGAGCTTTTCCCCCCAGAGTACGACTAAAGGCACTTATTCCTGCTAGAGCCCACTGCTGGTGTATTGGTTTAACGAGTGTTCTACGCCTTTAAGTAAATAAGACTGTCTCTCACCTCTTTCAACAAAACATGGCGTAGATACCGATGTTTATGGCCTCGGACGCGACGGGAGTTGAGAAAGCAGCTAAAAATGCTACCGAATGTTAGCTTTGGTCAGATTTCCATGTCATCCTCCACCGCAGCAGGCTGAGGGATTGTAACGGTGTCCCGTTTGAGCCGTGACAGCGGCATTCCCACGTAGTTTACGTCTTTAAAAAGACCCTAAAAATCCGGATTAGAGCAAACGGATCGCATCATCCGTTGATGGTCAGAATGCAAACAAACACTGGACCAGAAGTCCGTCACATTATTTCACATAAGGGCTCTTGGGGGCTAGAAATAAGGTGGATAGAGGTTGGTCTTTGTTACGACCCCCAGTCTAGGATATAGGGGAATGCAACGTGACAGTCACAATGATTGAGGCAGGTCGGCTAATGTGTAAAAGGTTGTTTGTTGAAGATGGGGGGAAAAGAGGGGACCTGTGGGTTGACTAAATAAATGAAATCAATAAAACAAAAACACACCCTAATCCTATCTACAAAAATAGCTTTCAACAAACCAGTACAAGGGAGGTACTACCCCCTCTTACCTAGTGTTTTTAGACATCCAGATACTACGTGTGCAGATGTACAGGGTACCCCATCTCACCTGGTCCGCAACCTTCCCACCACATACCTGACAGCCAGTTTAAACAGACTTCAGCATCCACATTTCAACTAAGAGCATAGAAAAACAAGCTCTGGGCTCAACGGCTGGATCTTAACAAAAAGACTCCAGCCTCCACCAGGTGCAGGCTATTTAAAGGCAGGCTCCACAGCTGATTGGCCAACCAGGAACACAGCAGCCAATCACTGGCAGAAAGGGAAGGTTCACCTCAGAATGTAGCAGACAACTTGAACCTGGAAAAGAAGACAGTTATAGAAAGCGCCAGCAAAAGTGCTTTGCATGTGACGGTCTTATTTTTTAATAATGCTTTATGTAAATACGTTAGGATACTTTATTATGCTTTCATGTGTAATGGAAAATAGAGTAATGTGGGCTAAATAAATTGCTTTAAAAGCTATTTATTTCTATTCTCATTACTTGTGACCCATAGCTGTAAAACTCTATTAATTATAGAACATCCCCTTGCTTGGTCTTAGGATGATTAATTAGAAGTAGGGATGCAACGATACCACTTTTTTCCAAACCAATTGGATCTGAGTACTCGCCGATACCGATTACCAATACTGATACTTCTACCACACAAAAAAATGCAATGATTTGGAATACAGATTTTATTTTCTTCTCTGCTTTCAACAGGAAAAGACTGTGAGGTAGATAAAAAGTAAAATATATGAATGGAAATCATCACAAAACTAAAATATTAGGTGAACAGAAATGACAAGTTACATTGAAGCCATTTTCATGCAACTGCATTGGTATCAGTTCCTGGTATCGGTTAACTTTTTCCGATACTAGTATTGGTATCGGTGCCGATGAAGCTGCGCTCAGCTGATGGAGTCATCTGATTAAAATGCCGAGTTTTGCAGACTCACAGACTCCTGACAAGGGAAGATACAGCAGAACGTGTAGTAGCCGGGTTATTTGCTCTGGCTGCGTATGACCTGTGGGATCTTTAAAATCAGTCCATTTCGTGATGTTTCACATACCAGCCCGTAACTCTGCTGGACTTTGTTTTCCCTCAAACTGCAACTGGTAGATGCTTTTAGATGACCAGAATTACTGGCACTTTGATTTGCAGTGTGGGTGTGGTGGTTTCTCATCTTTTTCACCCTTGATCCTTTTCATGTCTGTGCCTTGTTGAATTACTTAAATGAGCAGGCTCAGACCACGGACATAAAAAAGGGTAAGAAGTTCATTAAGGGAGATGAACAACAGGCGCTCCACGGGAGGATCAGGGAACACGCTGACCTGAAGATGTGACCTGTGACATCTGCACTGGAGCGAAACTTAAGGATGTCAAGTACCGTTTGGGCTGTCTTACTGTGAATTGCACTTCAAGAGTCATGATGATGCTCCACCATCACAGAAACAAGCTGACGGAGCCCTTTAAGAAGCTCAGAGCATCTCTTCACGATGAGGTGATGAAGATTTTCTGCCTTCCTGACCAACAGTTTATCTGCCACTTCTGTTTAACGGAGGACCATAAAGGTCACAAAACTGTCTCGGCAGCAGAAAGAGCTAAGAAGCAGCAGGATCTGCAGGTGAGTCGACAACTTATCTAGCAACAAATCCAGGACCGAGAGGAAGAGCAACAGCAAGAGGAGGCCATTAGTGTCTGCTGATCCAGCAGTGGAGGACAGATCTTCTCTCAGCGTATTTGTCTGATCCAGAAAAGAAACTGATGGGAAGCAGCAACAAGAAATGGAGATGAGTCGAGTCAGAGCACTTCTGGAGAAGCTGCAGCAGGAGACCACAGAGCTGAGGAGGAAAGATGTTGAGCTGGAGCAGCTCACACTCAGAAGACCTCAATGTGCTTCTACAGAACTTCCTTTTAGTGGGTTCCCCTAGGGCAGGGGTCACCAGCCTGGTGCCCCCTCAGTAGCCCTATAAGGTGCCCTCAGGCCGTTATAAAAATAGCTCAATTCACTGCTCAGCAAAGTATATCATATTATTTTCTGTGGCTAATTTTCAAATCACACTTTATGTAAATGGTAAACGACCTGTATTTGTATAGCACCTTCTTAGGGTTCTACAACCCCCCAAGGCGCTTCACAACACAATCAGTCATTCACCCATTCACACACACTTTCACACGCTGGTGGGGATGAGCTACGATGTAGCCACAGCTGCCCAGGGTCGAGCTGACAGAGGCGAGGTTTCAGAGCACAGGCGCCACCGGTCCCTCCGACCACTACCAGCAGGCGAGGAGGGGTATGTGTCTTGCCCAAGGACACAACAGCAGCATTCTCTGGTCGGAGCCGGGGTCGAACCTGCAACCTTCCGATTACTGGACAACCCGCTCAACCTCCTGAGCTGCTGCTGTCCCAGTGATTAAAACATGGATGACTAACAAACTGTGTGAGATGTGAGTGTGTGTGTGAGACTAATAAAAGTATATTTTTCTTTTACAAAGGACCTAGAATGTAAACCAACATTTTCCTTGTTGAATATAAAGACAGCTTGGGTGGTCAAAAGTAGCGTACCAAAAAGTCGAAGCTGTGTGTGACCAACTTTTTATTTAAATTAGAAAGTTGAAAAAGGCGAGAGAAAAATATGTGTTCTTCTGAGAAAGCGTTCCTTAACACGTCACAAGGGGAAGCCCTTCCTCCACATACCTGCATGTCTCCACCCCCTTTAGCCTCGGCCATGTATAAAACAAACGCACACAGACAGAACAAAAGGGCAAGGCTAACCCTAGCTCCAAGCTAGGCCCTCCTCACTTATCTTTCTGAAACCTTGGACAGTGAGTCTGGCTTTACACGGCGACTGAACTACAACAGTGGAGCTGCCCCATCTCAGCCATCATCTGTAAGTAAAAAGTGTTATCTGTGCTACGGTATCACTAGCAGTTAGCATGTGCTATTACTTAACTACTAGGATTTTTTTAAAAACTACTCTTTGATTTAACTGCCAGCTTTCATTTAAAAACTTTTCCCTAACAATATAGTGGGCAAGTAGTGAAGGAATTATTGTGAGGTTAAAGCATTTGATGGAGGTTTTATGTATAGGGAGCCTAAAGGTTGGTTTATGCTTGACGGCTGCCAGGTGCTGTGTGCAGCAAAATTGCGTCATTTTAACAACCACGCCCCTCCACCTGGCCTCTGCAGGGCCCAGGAAATTTTCTAACAACGTGGACGGTCAAACACAGAAAAACATGGCGGACTGGCAAGAATTATGGCAGAGTTCGTAAATACAGACATTTGTATGATTCAGCTCTCAAAGATCACCGTGATCAACATGTTGTTAATAATTCTTGGAGAGAAATAGCTCGCACTGTCGGAAAAGACGAGGACGCTGTTAAAAAATGCTGGAAAAACATGAGGGACCGATATGTGAAGGCAAGGAAGGGGAACAAACGGAAAAGCTGTGATCCTGGTGGAAACAAGAACACGCCACGATTTCTAAAAGAGCTACCGTAAGTTGGCTCCAAGCCAGCTCAATGCGCTCTGTGAAGCTGACCCCCGTCAGCTTCAAAAATAGAGGCAAATAGGCTGCTCAGTTAGTGCTTTGTTTGTGCTGATTTGTGCAGGTGAAACCAACGTTTGTGCTGCAACGGTTTCTGAGATATTAAACTTTATTTAATACCGTAAATCCTCTAATACAGGCCCGGGCCTGTATTTGACTCAAGCTCATCAAGCTCCAGGCCTTTATTGGAAGGAGGGCCAGTATTAGAGGCAGGCCTCTATTTCTATTTGAGCAAAATGAACTAATGGTTCGCTGGAGTTTTTGACAATTAAAATTGCGCGCACATTTTCAAAGTTAAACACATTTCTTTTAACAACGGTAGTTTCTGCTTCAGCCCTCTCCCCCCTCCCCCTGCGCAGCGGCCGCAAACTCACTGATGCGCCTGCAGCCTCTCAGAGTTCCTGCTGCTCTAAACATTAAAATAATTATTTCATTTTCTGTTCCTCACTTCCGATTACCTTCAATGGTGTCTGTTTGTTGCAACCAGCAGGTACAAAAACTAACTTGTTTTTATTTGTCTATTTTTCTGTCCTGTCTGTTTATTATCTTCCTGCATCTCCTCTCAATCCTAAAGAGAAACTGCAACCTGGGTTCATATATATTCACCTTATGAGTTACCTTTGAACTGCAGTTCTAAAAGATCTACCGACCGCAAAAACAGCGGAGTGCGCGCTGCTTGCCGGCCGCATCAGTGCGTCGGAGGACAAGGTGTGCCCCGCTCCAGCAGCGAAACACATCAGGCGCAAATAACACTCTGGGGAGCAGTAGCAGGGGTTGTATGAACTAGTCGATTTCACATTAGTGACTTTTTATGCCTGTCGTCGACTAGTCGCTGTCACGTGATAATGACCGGCAAGATGCAGCCCTAGGAAAAGACAGCAGCCTGCTGTCAGCAGGTGACAAGCTCCTGCGCTCGGGGGGGCAATGCACTGTGCCAGAGCATCGGTACTGACACGCGATCGTTCATGTCGGTTCATTTCCTTTGATGTTTTCTGTCTTTTATTTGCGCCTGATGTGTTTCGCTGCTGTGGAGCGGGGTGCTTCACCCTGTCCTCCGACTCACTGATGCGGCCGCCAAGCAGGGAGCACTCCGCTGTTTTTGCGGTCGGATCTGCCTCCTGAGCACGGCCACAGTAACAATCAGGTGTTGCCAAATTATTTAACACGCGATCGTTCATTTCCTTCAATGCGTCGGAGGACAAGGTGACTTGTCGGCGACAGGCATAAAAAGTCACTATAGAGCGGTGAAGTCGACTAGTGACTAGTTCATACAACCCCTGCTACTGCTCCCCAGAGTGTTCTGCAGCATAATCAGCACGTTCTCTTTGAACTTGATATCAAATTTTCACCGCCTCTTCGTCTCCGCACGGTTAAAGTTACCCTCGCGGTCTATCACTGGCAAATCAAAAGTGAGAGATGACACAACCGCCCCCCGTACTTGCTTGTTACCACATTCCACCCGGCCACTATAAGAGACCGGCCATTATTCACCTCCGCTGACTCCGACACCGGCCAAAATTGGAGACCCGGCCTTTAATTGAATACCGGCCTGTATTGGAGGATTTACGGTATGTCATTCAGAGGTCACCGTCCCCCCCGGACTTCTCCAAACTGCTCCAAAATGGACCACAATAGTCTACTTTTTCAGTGCTTCATTTGTTCTGATTTGTGCAGGTGAAACTGACGTTTGTGCTGCAACGGTTTCTGAGATATTACACGATTTAATTTAGTATGATGACATCATCAAATTCCCAAACTGCTCCAAAATGGACCATATTAGTCAACTTTTTCAGTGCTTCGTTTGCACACGTTGGAGAGGTTACTTCTCCAATCTGGTCCGGGAACGCCTTGGGGTCCTGCCGGAGGTGGAGGTGGCCGGGGAGAGGACGGTCTTTCCTAGTTGGGATGCTGCCCCCGCGACCCGGACCCGGATAAGCGGAGGAAGACGACGACGACTTGCTGTAGCATTAATTGCACTAATAGAGCGTCCAAGGAGTCTCCACTTCATTTTTTTCGGTAAGTAAAATTATATTTATGTATTTTAGGTCACTGCCGAGCTGAGCTTAGATTTTAACATGTACTGTTTAACCATGAAATTTAAATGTAATAGGGTAAAACCCAGTGCATTTAACATAATGCTGCACTTTAGAAAATGGGTTGAAATATAACATGTTGGTGGAGCTGGGTTCCGACTATCGGCTTGTGGAGCTCTCTGGAGACCTCTGTTTTCCACCCTTATCCCCTCCCCGCAGCTCGGCGCATCTCTGTCTGATCGTGGCTTCTGACTGCTGCGCGGGCTGACGGCTTGTGGAGCTCTGGGATGGAAACATTTCCACCCGGTTCTCCCCAGCGGCAGCTCTGCGCATCTCCGATCTCCTCAGTCTCCTCTTCTGGGCTCATGGATCCCCGGAAGAAGGAAAAAATGAATGCATGTCTAAAACGCAGTTTTCTAATCAGCTTTGCCTTACGCCCTGGATCACACACATATGTTGTACTGCAATTTAAATGTGAACTAATGATGTATGTTTCGACCACGCCAGTCACGTAGATTTAACAGCTTGTAAAAGTTCGTAATTAGCATGACTACACACACCAGAAATCGACACATGGCATATGTGTTGCTTATGCCACCACATAATCTCCTCCCCCCTAGCGTAACTGCTACTTACCACATGACCAGATTTATGGTGGTTCTTTCCTCCTGTGGGAAGTTTGCTGAACTTACAGCCCTTTTCCATCAGTTTGCTCCATGTCTGGTTCGATGATGTCACTTTCGTGAGGCACATTTGTGGTCCTGGACTTATTTTCACACAAAACCTAAAATAGCATTTCCCCCGTTCGAAAATAAGCGCATTTTTGGTATCAAAATGTGTCTTTAAAATTCACGGACGTCATATGTTAAATCCTTGGCACAAAACAAGCGGGATTAGAAAATAACGTTTTTAGCCCCGTTGACTTGCATTCATTTTTCGTTCTTCTGGGGACCGTGGTCCGCAAGTAGATGGGCGTGACTTAGGCTCCCTATTTCTACATGTTAAAGGAATTGTTAACAGTGTAATTAAACAAGGCTGCCCTAACTTTCACATGCCACTGTACCATGCCACCAAATGAGGAGGGTTAAGCCTGGTTCATGCTTCTCCGTCAGCTCCGCAAGGGACAGACACGCCCGGATTGACGGAAGCGTTTTGCTCTTTTACTTCTCCGTCTCCTGGAGAGCGTTGCAAAGCAATTGCCCGGCAGGACCACAGAGGGCGTAGCGCTGTTCTGTGGTATCCTGTCATGTATCGGTCCAAGATCATGTTTATATTGTGTTTTTTGTGTATAAGAGACTTTTAACACGGACATATTTGTCTCTCATTCTCCCACCGCTTCATGCGCTCCCCACCTCTAAACCCACGTTTCCTGTCATTTCCGTCCACAAATAAAACGCTTGCTGCGCATCTTTTCACTCCTCCAGTCACGGGAGGATAAAACGTTCATATTTTTAGAGTTTTTTCGCGAGGTATTCTTCAAGCTTCTCCGTGTCTGCCGCTAGTTATCCTCGGCTCTCTTTGCAATGGCGGCGCTGTAAACAACAGCGGCGTCCTGACCAATCACAAGCTTGCGTAATCAGTCTCGTTCGACGGATGTTTAAAAAAGTGGGCTCGACTCCGTACGTACTTGCGTGCCTGCCGGAGCCCTACGCAAGGATGGATAATGGCGTTGCGTGTCTCCGCACTGACGCAGACGGAGAAGCATAAATCAGGCTTTTTTCTAAGGATTAAAACTAATGTCTTGGAAGATTCAAGGCCCTTTTGACTGATGACCATGAGGCTCCAGGGGTCACATTTTCTTGTTTGTACTGTTTTCAATGCTTTTTCTAGATAAACCAATTTAAAACCAACCGACTAAGGTTGTTTTTTGGAAGCTGAGTATTCCTCCCCTGGAAGTAAAAAAACAGGAAATTAAAGAGCAAGTCACCCCCAAATCAACTATTTTTTTCTGATAAACTATATAAATGAGTGTCTAATCGTGCTGCAGACACGTGCAGTCAATAGTTTTGCACTTTAGTGCATTTTAGTTAAAATTTTAATTTTCTGTCTAAAACTGTCAGTGTTGTGCCATTGTCGGGTAAAAACCTGCATTTGAATTTAAATCTGCCACCGCTATTGGCTAAGAGGTACCCTAGCACGTTAGCTGGTAACATATGATATCACAATGTCTTTGTGAGCCTGTGTGTGTGTGTATTTGTTAGCGGCTCCGCCCTCTCGGTCTGCTAGGCAACAGCATTTGTTGCATTTTTCAAACAGGAAGTGGGAGTTGAGTAAGAATCTGGTAGGGGGTGACTTGCTCTTTAATGTCTGCTAGCTGGATAGGATCTTGACAGGAAAGGAGCTTTCTACAGACCTTAACAATAATATTAAAAATTCCGTTAACATGTGTTACATTCAGAAAGGCAGTGCTACAGGTGGCAGTAACGTTTGTAAGTGGTCACAATTAATAAACTGCTAATAAAATATGAAAGGTGTCCAACAAAATCTAATGTTCCATAAAACTGTGAATTATTAATACTGTTGGACCTTTAATATCCGATTGACTCTGGAAATGGGTTGGGTAGCCAGGGAACCAACACCTATCAATAATTTGACACAGAAGCAAAAATATAGTATATAAAAATCTATTTATTACTATGTTTCTACGACTAATGATTATACAGAATAACTGAAGGTAAATGATTATTCAAGATAATATCAACTCAATAACCAAACTAATAAAACATGATTGTGGATGTTACCAATAATCTAAACAAGTGTTTTAGGAAAGATGTGAAGTCTGGAATTACAAGAATAATCTGGCTGAATTTAGTGATGTTTGATCAGTGAGTCATAACCCATCCAGTCTTCTGAAGGAGTTGTCTTGTGACTTGCAGCAGAGATAAGGAAGCATGGTTCCCCCAGATGGTGAGGTCATAAACAGAGCATTTGTTTTGGTTTGGTTTGCACACGGTTGACCTTTAGGCCTGCACTGCCTTTCCTAGCGCTACACACGTGTTACACATAAAACTTCCCTCAGACGCTTAAACCTCACAATAAATCCTCCATTACAGTATGTCTCCACTCAAACAAGCTATAACTCCTGTTGATGCACACGTGCTGACAGGAAGACGGTAACAGCTCACCAGATTAAACTCTGATAACATGAACAGATCTTAATGTGACCTCGAGGGGCGGATACCTCTTATAGATGCATTAAAGCAAGGAGAAAACAGTCTGTGATATTTCAGTCGAAAGGTTTTAATGTCAACCATGCAATTTCACAACGAGGAAACGGAGTCTTTCCGAAGCAATCTCAGGCATGTGTCCTGTTTGTGAACATCTAACTGTCCCTCTTACAGACTAAACCTGCAACCTTCCAATTACTGGACAACCCGCTCAACCTCCTGAGCTTCTGCTGTCCCATCTGTTGGAATGTCTCTGCAAAATATTCTATATAAACCCATTTTATGCACGTCTGGTAAAGATGTCCTCCTGCAGCAGGTTACTGCAGCTCCTGAGGATTCACTGCTTTCTTCATCATCTGATCTCCTGCCCTGGTGTCTGAGTCTCTCATCCTCCTAGACTTGATGCACAACCGCATCTGCACCACCAAGTAAAAGCACTTTCATACAGAAACATCGGATAAATGAAAACGTGATTGTTTTCACTTGAGGGCACTCTATCACAAGCTTTGTTTCTGACTCAGCATCACATGCAGCTTTAGATTTTTTTTTAGACATTTAGCTCAGTTAAATAAGCAAATTATTCATGTTTTAGTCCCGTTTTTTACAGATTAACAGAGGCTTTGAGTTCAGGATGGTGGAAGAAAATAAAAGAAATACAATTCTAATAGAAAACATTAAAACAGTGTGGTGTGCAGGATTTCTTCTGTTGCATGTTATGAAGTCCAGATGGGAGTTCTGGCCTGTTTGGTGGAAACAACTGAACTTTGTGAGGCGTTACAGCGAGTGATGATCCTTTCTCCCTGTTCTCTGGCATTCTGACAAACCAGTGAAAGAACACTGCTGAGAACACTTGGCTAAGAAATAATCTCAATTTTATGTTATTGTCAAGTTTCTAGACACATCAATCACAAATTAATGTTATTTGTGTTCATTTCAAACGTTTAGCTACAGATTTGTTTAAACAAATGAAGCTAGAGACCTTTGTCCTGATGTTTCTGGTACGTCTTGGATGTCAGATGAATCTCTAGAGGACAGTCTCACCACACCTGTCACCTGCACCCATAATGAGTCACTCAGTGGGTGGAGCTTCCACTTTCGTGGATTGAGGTGGGAAGGGGAGTGTGTTGGAAGTGAAAACAACATCAAGGTCTCAGAGGTGCCGGGTGTGGTGAGGATAAACCCAAGAGGCTCACAGAGAGAGTCGGGTTTATTATAAGGAAATAGATCAGCAGCTTTTTAAGGATTCTTTTCATTTTATAATTAACTAAAAAACACTGTAGTTCAACTCTGGAAGATAGAAATAATTCTGTTACGTTTTATGAGTTGAAGAGGAAGTCAGGATTTTACAAAGAAGATTGAGTTTAACTGGTTTAATTCTACAGTCAATTCTATCAGTTTCTAATTGTTTGTTCTTTTGCAGTAAAATCAAAGTTTTATTTTAACAAACTCAAATAATCTTTAGTAAAAAATAAAAAGAGCAAGCCTTTTTGTTCTGATGGTTCTGGAGCTCAGCTGTCACCTCGATGTGAGGTGTGTGTGTGTGTGTGTGTGTGTGTGTGTGTGTGTGTGTGTGTGTGTGTGTGTGTGTGTGTGTGTGTGTGTGTGTGTGTGTGTGTGTGTGTGTGTGTGTGTGTGTGTGTGTGTGTGTGTGTGTGTGTGTGTGTGTGTGTGTGTGTGTGTGTGTGTGTGTGTGTGTGTGTGTGTGTGTGTGTGTGTGTGTGTGTGTGTGTGTGTGTGTGTGTGTGTGTGTGTGTGTGTGTGTGTGTGTGTGTGTGTGTGTGTGTCCTGCTCAAGGACTCCTGAACAGAGGAGAGTCAAGCTCCAACATAGTGCTTTTCATCATTTTGATAATTGTGATTTCATTATCATTATTATTAATATTAGAATAATATAGGGAAGTCTGGGCCTCTCGCCTTAGGCTGCTGCCCCCGCGACCCAACTCCGGATAAGCGGATGAAAATGGATGGATGGATGGAATAATACTCTAAAAGGTGGGAAAAGGAAAGAAACCAATCATGAGACCATGTTTGTTGCTGGTTAGCTGTGAAAGCAGGAGGGTGAATTTTCTCAGTGGTCCAGTCGAGACGCAGGTCTTCAAGCAAGAAAGAAAGAAATGCTGTCATTGGTCATATAAGGTACTTCAGTGTTCTTCAGAAAACGTTAGAAAACAACAGGGTGATGAAAAACAATTACAAACGATAAACTGATCGTCGGGGCAGTATAAGCAGGGAGGCCCAGACTTCCCTCTCCCCAGCCACTTGGACCAGCTCCTCCGGGGGAATCCCAAGGCGTTCCCTGGCCAGGTGAGAGACATAGTCCCTCCAGCGTGTTCTGGGTCTACCTTTAGGTCTCCTCCCGGTTGGACGTGCCCAGAAAACCTCACCAGGGAGGCGTTCAGGAGGCCTCCTAATCAAATGCCTGAGCCACCTCGACTGGCACCTCTCGATGTGGAGGAGCAGCAGGTCTACTCCGAGCCCCTCCCGGATGACCGAGCTTCTCACCCTATCTCTAAGGGAGTGCCCAGCCACTCTTCGGAGAAAACTCATTTCAGCCTCTTGTATCCGCGATTTCATTCTTTCGGTCACTACCCAAAGCTCATGACCATAGGTGAGGGTAGGAACGTAGATCGACCGGTAAATCGAGAGCTTCGCCTTCTGACTCAGCTCTCTCTTCACCACGACAGACCGGTACAACGCCCGCATCACTGCCGATGCAGCACCAATCCGCCTATCGATCTCACGCTCCAGTTTTCCCTCATTCCTGAACAAGACCCCGAGATACTTAAACCCCTCCACTTGGGGCAGGACCTCGTCCCTGACCCGGAGAAGGCATTCCACCCTTTTCCGAATCAAGACCATGGTCTCAGATTTAGAGGAGCTGATTCTCATCCCAGCTGCTTCACACTCGGCTGCGAACCGCTCCAGTGAGAGCTGAAGTTCACGTTCTGATGAAGCCAACAGGACCACATCATCTGCAAAAAGCAGAGACCTGATCCTCAGGCCACCAAAACGGATGCCCTCCACACCTTGGCTGCCCCTAGAAATCCTGTCCATAAAGGTTATGAACAGAATCGGTGACAAAGGGCAGCCTTGGCGGAGTTCAACTCTCACTGGGAACGAGCCCGACTTACTGCTGGCAATGCGGACCAAGCTCTGACACCGGTCATACAGGGACCTAACAGCCCGTATCAGACCATCAAACACCAGTGGGACGCTAAAACCAAGAGGACCTCCGATCCTCCACAAACACAAAACACACACACATGAACACAGAGACCCACACCACACACCCAAAGAAATGCAAACACACACAAACAACAGAATGAAACCAGAACCACAGAGAGAGCAGACGCAACGAATCGGACTGACTGACGACACAGCGTGGTCTAAAGAGAGCAGAACGTCATAAACGGGCTGGTAAATACGAGTAGGGCCTGTGATCGGTTCCGTCATAATGAGCTAAAATAAAAGAAACAATCGTAAAAACAAAGCCGCTCCAAACGTGGGGAACATTTAAGTTCGATCACCTTTACAACAAAGGTTTATGAAACTCATTTTTTAAGATTAATCCTGCAATGATCTAAAATAAACATGATATCGGATCCCATCGGTTAAAGAATGCCGAGGCAGGAACAGGACAGGAAGCTAAAGCCACGCTCACTTTGCTCGGTGTACAAAAACGCACTCGTGTCAACCACGCTAGACATTTTACTCACCCTAGTAACCTTTAGACCTTTAATGCTCCTCACCCAACATCAGCGAGCTGCCTCTTCTTAAAAACAGAAATGTCAGCGGAGTTAGAGGAATAAAAGCAACTCAGTTTCTCCTCTGAACGGGTGAAAAGGCAACAAAAACTCATCAACCGGATTCTGATGCAGCTTTTTAGGACTTTCCCTTTTTCGGCCCAAACTTCAGTCTGAGAAAACTGCAAACAGAGTGAATGAAAGTGCATTGAAATAGCAGTTTTCCCACTTTTACCGACACCGAATTAGAAGCACTTTTAAATGTGTCAGCTTTTATTAGCCGAGTCATCTTTACAGACTTTTTACTTCCAGCTCTCTAACGAGCGCCATCGGTGTGTGTGTGTGTGTTGTGGTGGTGGTGGTGGGGGGGGGGGGAGGGGGGGGGGGGGGGATCCAAGTGAAACGCTGAAGAGTAGATTTCTGTTTAATTGGCCATTAAATGGCTAAAAGAGTTTCCTCACAGAGCTGTGATGTCTGCGCGTTAACGTTCTGTGTTTCACTGTTGTGTAGACACTCAGCGAGAGCATGGAGTTTTCTCAGCCTCTGTGCTCCTGTTTTAAGCCCCCTGGTTTCTGTTTATGCAGCCCAATGGACCGTACCTCACTGGGTGTGCTGGTTGGACGTGACTCAGCTCTGTTGCTTAGCCACAGTTGTCAGGGAGTTGCTGCTAAGCTCGGCTAGAAGAAACAACAACATGCTGAAAGGCCTGCATGAAAGATAGAAACTATTTCAGATCAGTTCCTGGAGCATTTCTGTCCTCTGTGTTAAGATTCATAACAGAAATCCAGACTTATGGTGGTCATATGAAGTTATAGAAACACAAAAATCATTTAACTTGGAGAAAAAAAAACTAAACTCGCATTTATGATGGTTAATTTGTTAAAGCAAGGTCAATTATTAATTCCTTAGATTGGAAACCAGGGCTATGTGGTGGCACCATAGACGTGAATACATAGGCGCCCCATTGGGCGCTGGAGAGCGTAACAGTGTCACTCTCCAAACCCAAATGGAGTCAACACAAAGGGAGCAACTAGGACCATTTTTTTAGTGCAGCCTACAGTTGCAACAACCAGCGTTCTATTGAAAACAGATTATGTGGGATTACTATTGATTTTTCTAGCCTACCTGTTGGGATTTTATATTTAAATTTATTTTATTTTATTATATTTTAACTATCATGCCAAACCACATGTCTGATTTTGTTAAAAAGCATAATAAATGTGTCTTTTTTAATTGGGTAAGCACCTTCCTCAGTAGAAATAAATGGACTGAGGGTAAATGGAGACCCATCCAAGATGGCCACCTGCCACTACGCCAGCTCCAGTAGGTAGCGCCAGTTCATGGGGCGTTTGCGTATAAAAAGTCAGTGGGTAGCACTGCTGCATCACAGTATGTAGGCTGCAGGTTTGAATCCCGGCTGCAAGCTTTGTGCACGGAGTTGTCAACAATAACAAATAGCTGCTTCACAATTAAAAACGTGTTTTTTTTTAGAAAACATTACCACTACAGTTAGGTTGTTTTTCTTTTGCTTTATGGTTTGTTAAACATTATTTATATATTCTCCGTGAGAAAAAAAATCACACTGCAGATTTAGTGAAAAAAACAGATTTTCCGATGTAGTTGTATTTTACAATAAAATTAACGTGTGCAAGAACATGTTAGACCATCAGAGAATAAACATCTGTG